GTGTCCGAAGGGAGTGGTCGGCGTCATACCCATGGAAGCCATGGCCTGCTGCTGGGAAATGGAAGGCTGTCCTTTCTGGTTGGCCCAGTTGCAGCGGATAGCGCGAGAGCCAAGCCACTCTCCGTCCATAGAGCTGAGAGCGCGATCAGCATCGGCGCGATCCCTAAACGCGACGAATCCGTAACCACGCGACCTGCCCGTCTTCATGTCCCACATAACGCGAGCCTCGGAAACAGGACCAAAGGTGGAGAAAGCCTGGAGGAGAACCTCGTCATTGACTTCGTTGGACAAGTCACCGACAAAGATATGGAAATGGTTAGAGGTGTCTTCTTTGGCTGTGTTGTTAGATTGGTAGGCCCAGTTAACACGAATTTCCTGCATCTGTTAGCATCACTAACATGAATTTGTCGAGCGAGCTTACATTGTTGTGAATGCGCCGGCCGTTGAGGGTGGCCATACCACGCTCGGCGGCGCCAGGGTCATCATACTCGACGAAACCATAGTTGAAGCCCTTGGAGTTGAACTGTTAGCGGTCAGCGGCACATGAATGTTGCAACACTTGCAAGATAAGCCCGGCCAGCTGTCAAGAGTCATGCAGCAGGTGCGGAGTGTTATCTTACAGAAGGAGAACTTGCAGTCTTGTCTGGGATAATCTTGACGCTCTGGACGTGGCCAGTCGTCTCGAAGATCTGACGCAACACGTCCTCGGTGACCCGCGGGTCCAGTCCACCAACATATAGCGCCCGCTTGTTAGGCTCGGGGGCGGCGCGACGGGGGACGTAGCCTGGCTGGCCGCTGGTTGGGCTCATGGGGTTGCCCGACATGGGCGAGCTGATAGCGGTCGGGATGGGGTTGTTGTTCTGGGGGATAATGACGGGTGCAAGCGGCGGCGGTGGCATGTGCTGCTGCGGCTGGCCCTGGTTCTCGTAGCCGGGAGCGCCAGCGGAAGGGGGAGGAGGCAGCTGTGCCCCAGGGTTCTGTTGGTCGGCCATTGCTGTCGTCGCGGGGATGCGCACAAGACAAAAGTCGCAAGAGGCGCAATTGGCGGCGGCGGGTATCGAAGACGTCGGCAGTGATGCGACAGTCAAGGCGACAAGGCCACGGGGAGGTCGAGGCTGGCGGGCGGGGTGGTGGCAGCTGGGTAGGCGGCAAGGAAAGTCAGTATGGAAAGCGCGACTAAGGCTACCAATAGAGAGCGGACAGCACTAGGAAAGGCAAGGAAAACAAGAGGAAGAGATAGGAGAGACGAGCGCTGCGCCGAGCTGTGACGGCAAAGCTATAATCTCCACTGTGGGGTGAGGAAGGAGAGGTGTGAGAGGTGAGCGGGCGAGGGTCGAACAAATTAGCGCGGCAGGCCACAAGGCACCCGAAGGAACGGGAGCTATGAATGTAGTACCGCTCAAGCGCTAGCCCAAGCAGCTAGCGGACCCTCTCTGAGTCCCGCGCCGAACTCCATCATCGACACGGCCGTACCTTTTCCTTTACCTCAGCATACCCACCATGGCCACCGTGATAACCCCCAACCAGCACATGGACATGCTTCAGAGCATGCTAAATGCTGTGGTACGTGATGTCACGTGTCAGCTACTGCGATCACTCTAACAGTCCATAGTTCCTCCATTCTGGTCGCTTTCTCAAAGAGGAGCAGGCTGGCGGCGGCACCGGGCGCATGAGGCAGCAGCTGCAAAAGGTTGTGCCCCATACTACTGAGCGCTTTCACGATGCGCTAGACGAGCTCGAAAATGAGGTCCGCCTGGCGCAGACCGTCCTGCGCCGGGACATGGCGCTGCTTAAGCAGGACCGAAAGAAGAAGGAGGCCGCAGCGAAACAGCACGAGGTCGAGAAGGCGCGACTGGCAGCGGAGGCGAAGAATGTTCCGGCTCCAGTTGAGGAAGAGCCTGTGAAGGTGGAAAAGGTCGCGACACCAGCACCGCCCGAGCCACCCGCGTCGCAACCGCAAGAGGCGCCCGAAGCAGCGAGCGAAAAGGAGCCAGAGGCAGAAGAAGCCCCGAAGAAAGAAGATGACGCGAAAGACGCGAAAGACGCGAAAGCACCACCACCGCCCATCGAGACCGACGTCGAGCCTCCGAAAGACCCCCTCTTCGACGGCACGCCCACCACCGGCAACGCGCAAGAGTCCGAGTTCGACTTCGATGCCATGTTCGGCGACGCGATGGACACATCTGGCGACAACCCGCATCACGACATGATGGATACCTCGGGCGACATGGACTTTAACCTCGATGATGCCAACGAAGGACCTTCGCTACTACGCGGTCTCGAGGACTTCGCCAAGGACAGCGATGACGACGCGAACCAAGCCTCGGCCATGGACATTGACTTCACCATGGCAGACCTGCCAGGCTTGGACATGAACACCGATGCGACCGCGACTACAAGCGATAATGCGACAGCCGCGAAGCCCGCAGAACCAGAGCCCGAGCCTGCAAAGGCCGAGGAACCAAAACCCACCGAACAGCCACCGGTCGAGGAGAAGAAGGAAGAGCCGACCACTACTACCAACGACGAGATGATGGACACTATGACCACAGACAACCTCGAGGACCTCTTCAACATGGAAGAGTACGAGAACCCCGAGCAGTCGCAATTCGACGACGCCTTCTTCAACTTCGAGTAGTAATCGATCTTGCATGAAAGGCGTTAGTTTAGAAACATGTAGTGCTAGATAGCGCTCTTGTTACGATATCAGGACATGGATTCGTGTGTGGCATTGGGATTACGGCGTACTGGAAGCATTTTGATACCCCAGCATATACCAGGAGGTAATTGTAAGACATTGAATTGAAGTTTGTATACCGTGCATTGTTACAACATGCCTCATCAGAGTTGCTTCCAGCATCTGCGCACGCGCCGGCTTTAGCTGAACGCGATCGACGTGGTCACTTTTTGTCCGTTTCAGGAGAATGTCGTTGTCTTGATCGAGTCGGGTTACTAGCTGATCGAGCTCTGACTCAATCTTCGTGCTACCACTGTCCGACTCCGAGTCTAATTCTGCAGTCGGTAAACCTCTCCACCGTGTATCCCCTGTCAAGATTTCGGATATCCTATTTCAAGTCCTTTCAACGTTTTGAAGTCTTTCCTCCAGAACATCGTCCACTGAGGCTTGTTTTGTTTAAGCCTTTCCAAGTGTTCATCGCCCTCTTTGGTGTTTCCCAGAAGCTTTCCATTGAGAGAACTTCTATCTCGCAGAAGCTTACTCTCGTACAGCCTTCTCCACCAGTCAAAGAAGGAGTCCTGCGCTATGATTCTCCCCATTGATATATCATCTTTCATTTCTTCGCTCGCGTCTCTCAAGACTCGAATGAAGTAGGTGAAGTTTGAGCTGCTATTCATCTCCTTAGATACTTACACTGACTGTGTAGTATGTATGACTAGTAGGTAGACTCGGTAGTCATGAATCACAAGGGTGACTCCAAGAGTATAGCATTGCGAAATTATCTAGTATTGACTCATCGACCTCGTCATGACTGCCTTTAGAATTATGGCATTGTCGTATCTAACTCTATGATGAACATCACGACTTGATATATCCTTCTCATACACATCAACGTGAATTCAATCTACCAGCAGCAGAGATGCAGCAAGCGCAACTTTCAGCACTGAATAACTCCATCACTTTTCTCCATTGATAATTCTTTCGCCGATGCCATACCTTCCACCGTCATGTATCTGCTGCACCATCACAGTCCCCCTCCGCATACGAGACATCCAGCCAACTGACATCCTCCTTGATACCCATTGTAAGTGTACCTGCCTTTTCGCCACGCATGTAGGCTTCAGATCGAGCTTGGTCTGCAGGTAATTTCGTCGCTACATTTGAATCCCAGAGACACCAAGGAGACCGAAGTCTCTCAGCAAGAAACTCCAGGCTCTCTTTGATCTCTCCCCTCAGATGCTGTTGATATATCGACATCGCTTTCTCCATATCGAATTCGTGTTCTGAACCTGGAGCTTCGTCTCCTGATGTGAACTCCTAAATCCAATGTAGCTCATTTTCGATCTCATGGAGGAGTTCCATGAATTGGAATTGCAAATCAGGGTCTTGCTGAACTTTGTAATCCAGGGAGATATTTTCTCCTGAGAGTACTCCCGTATGTTCTGCCCATGTTGCGAGGCGGTCACGCTCATGTACAATAGCATCGTGGGACAGTTTCTTCTTTGTATCCTCATCTAGCTTGTCAAAATTATCAATGACCGCCCAGTACATCTTGACGCAACGTTTATATGTGTTTCTGACAGCATGGTGGCCAGTTGTCGGGGCGCATTTTGCTTGCTTTAGGCTACTCAATCGTTCCAGGGTATCAACGATCGTTTTCCATTGATCGAACTTCTGGGCAAACTCTGGGCTCGAGACTAGCTCCGAAGGCCAAGGTCGAAAGGGTTCCTCTCTCAAGGCCTCCTCCTTCTCTCTAATGATCGCGTGGATGTCTTCCAAAGTTCCTTTCAAATCTTTAAGACACTGAAGAACCAACTTGTGTTCATCTGGGCGAATATTGTAGATGTTCTCCTTTGGGGTAAACCTCCTTAAAACGATTATCTTTAGTCTAGTTTTCCCCGGTGCGTCTTCCTTCTTGACAATGAACAGCTTTGTATCTCATGCCCATCCCTGGAAACGGTAAAACTCCTTCTCAATGATCTTTGGTGCCCGTTGTCGGTCATGGGCCCACTCGTCGTCGTGTCTCAGAGGGTATAGTATAGACGTTCTGTACTGTTCCAAACGAGCGTCGGCCAGTTCACGGATCTCTTTTATGACAGGGTCTTCCTCTGATGTGGTGCTGTGATTGGAGGACGGTGGATTAATGTATTCTTCGGTAGTGGTTGAATATGCGTGAGGTTGATCCGCCATATTGTAATTTGATTCGGTTCGATTGCTGTGTCCCGGCGAGACTATAAGGATGTCTTTCGGAAGTAATGGTGAAAGCGAAGAGCTAATCTGCCCATCCTCTTCTTAAATACATGTACTGACTGTTCCGATGATATGACTAGCTCACATACTCAAGGCTCATGAATCAGAGGAGTGACTCAGAGGTCTCGACATTTAGGCTCAAGTAGAGACGACCTAGAGGTTTTTTCATATTCATTTCTCAATCATCGTGGCGTCGAAAATCCAAGTCTACGACGAGCCACCACTCAGCTTGATCTCTCCCTCGAACCCATTGACATGCATGAAGTTCGCCCGTAACGGAGTCACACTCGTATAGCCCTGCGCGACCGCCCATCCGTCATTGCCCGGCTCGCTAGCCTCGACACTCTCATACACGTCCTTGAACGTCGGCGCCCACTTGAAGTGCTTGTGTGTATACCGCATATGCGCTTGACCGGAAGGTGTCTCTCGTCCACTATCCGTGCCAGACGCTCCACCCTGTATCTCCGAATTCGCCTTGAGTTCCTTCTTTCCGAACTTCTCCTCTTGCTTGCGAATCTGACCCTCGATGTCTGATGGCGTGTCATCTGCTTCGGAGGGTACTTCGACAACCTGGAAACAGCTTCCGCTCTTCCACGAATTCTGCAGCATGTTTGTCCAGAGGATCTTGCGCTCTCCTACATTCTCTACCAATGGTACGTTGACGGTGTAGAGATGGGTGTTTGTGTCCCAGTTATCCCACAGGTGCTGTATGAGTTTTGCGCTGAGCTCGCTCGCGTCGCTGATAATCTTAGCGTCGTGGTTGCGGTCGAAGAACGCGTACGATAAGGCGATGGACTTCATGCCGCATACTGCTGCCTCCATCGCGCCACCTATTGTGCCTGATGATAGAGAGAAGATGGCGGTGCTGTTGCGACCGTAGTTCGGGCCGCTGACTACGAGATCGATTGGGCCGCGGTCGGAGAAGTAGTGGTAGAGACCGATCTGTACGCAGGACGCGGGTGTGGAGTCGACGAGTACCCATTCTTCTTCATTGGAAGAGGGTGGTAGAGGCGAGTTATGGGTTGTGCCATGGTTCGTGAGGCGGCCCTCGGCGTTTGTTTGGAGAGGCGCAGGGCGGTAGTATGTCGGTTGTATCTGTGGTAATGAGTATGGCGAGCGGCGTAGCAGAAGTGGTGTATCATACAGACTTGCCCACAAGATGTGCCTTGCCTATCCATGACCTCTGTGTATGCGGAAGAACGACTGAAACGGTATGGCCATGCTTCTGCAGTGTTGACACTAATGAATGCACGTAGGGTGAGGACTGGTCTGACGGTGGGCCATCGTCGTTGGTGACCTAGATTGATCAGTATCTGCCATTGACTTAGTAAGATAAGATAGTCTTACAAGAATATGCATGATTGCTTATGTGGATATTGCAGCGGGTTCTGGGGATGGCTGTGTTGTGGATTGGAGACCGAGAGATGCAGAGGGGCAGACAGTGACGTGCGCTACCTACCAATAAGTCCGAATGCCGTGGCAGCGCAGGCGGTCACCGCCTCATCTTTCGCATCAACACCTCTGCGTTATCACATTTGTTTTCGCATGGCCGTTTCTTCGACAGAACGGTTGCAAACGTCGTCAACGAACGCTGCAGGGCAATGGCAAAGTCCGTGTAAAACTGGCAGTGGTACCTGCGCCATGGGTAGATCCGCTGATGCGCCCTGCATCGTGCCGACGATCAGAGCTTAGCTACGAAGAAGCTCAAGTTTCCAGGTCGCACCTGATAGCAAAGTAGACGCCTCTGTATAAGATCGAAGATATGATTAGAAGTATTCGCGACACCGGACTTCGTCTCGCATCTCCATGGCAGATCTGAACACCCTCATTCGGGGGTCAAGCATGGCCCCTCCCCCTTCCGACGTCCGCACGACAGCCGGCACTTCATCCACGACATTTCGAAACGGGAGTGCAGAGTCTACCGGGAGGTTTAGCTGTGTGTAGCTAAAACGACCAGAGCTTCGGGCGCGAAGGTGTAGAGCCGCAGGTCCCTAGAGCAGCTATTTTCGGCGTTCGTTTCTTCGGATCCCCGCCCGTGCCCGCATACCGTGAACACCATTTGTTTCAATGCTGAGACCGAACACTCGAGATGTTTATAAAGAGCCAGCACAAGATGAGAAAGGTAATCAGTATACCCAATTCATCCTCACCCACCACTTCAACAACTTCAAGCTCCCTACCTTGAAATTCTATATTTCATCATACACCGACCCATAATCATCTAAACACCAACACATTATCAAAATGGTCATCAGCGTTCCCACTGCCTCCCTCGAGGGACAGGTCGCTCTCATTACCGGTGCCGGTCGCGGCATTGGAAGGGGTTGTGCTATCGAGCTCGGCAAGCGCGGCGCCTCCGTCATCGTAAACTACGTTTCCTCCGAAGGCCCAGCAAACGAGGTCTGCGAAATCATCAAGGGCTTCAACAACGGTGCCAAAGCCGTAGCCATCAAGGCCGATGTCAGCAAAGTCAGTGAGATCAACAGACTATTCGAGGAGGCGAAGAAGGCATTCGGCAAGATCAACATCGTCATGAGCAACTCAGGAACCGAGAGCTGGGACGTAACAGAGGAGATCAGCGAGGAGAAGTACGACCATGTATTCAACCTGAACACAAGAGCACAATTCTTCGTTGGCCAGACCGCATACAAGCACATCGAGGATAACGGCCGCATCATCCTGATGAGCTCCATTGCCGCCGGCCTTCTCGGTGTCAAGGATCACGCCCTCTACAACGCCTCCAAGATGGCCGTCATCGGTTTCATCAAGGCGTTCGCAACCGACTTCGGAAAGCGCGGTATCACCGTCAACGGTGTCGCACCAGGAGGTATCAAGTCAGACATGTTCACACAGAACGCTTGGCATTACATCCCCGGTGGCTCGCCTGACTGGCCAGCGGAGAAGATCGAGAATCTGATGGCAAACCACTGCCCGCTTGGAAGGTGTGCCGTACCTGAGGATGTTGCGAGGGTCGTCGCTTTCCTCGCATCAGCGGACGGTGGCTGGGTCAACGGTCAAGTGCTGACCATCTCCGGCGGATCATCCCAGTAAGCTGAGACTGAGGTGGTGATGATGAACGAATGACGGTAGCATTGTATGTTTTCCAGCGCATTTGATAGAGAGCCCAGTTCGAAGCCATCGCTCGAATAAAACAACGAATCATAGCAAAATCACTCGATGTGTTTCCCGCGTGTGCAAACATTTCGAAATGTGTGTCGTGATGGAGGTGTGTGGGCGTGAACGAAGGTAGTAGATACCCTGCCAAGACTTACGTCACCAAACGCGATTGGGCAACGCCATCACATGGCTCGATCTGCACACCTGCTCTACACAACTGCAACGTGTATCAGCATGTAATGTGGTTGACTGACCAGAATTTAGCATCTGCAATGAACACGATCTTGTCATTCACAGGGGATTTCGAGTTAGACCAGCACGGTGGACCTTTCCCTTGTCGCTTCCATGGAAACCTCAAGCTACCAGTAAGACAACAGCAATTTGACGTCCTACTACTAACCAAAGTTCGAATATCCATGTGATTCATGCGAGCAGAATTCTATGTGATAATGTTCTAAGATACTCTTTCCTACAAATATTCCCCACTTCTATTTCATACCTAGTCATCTCACCACGCCCAAACCCCACTCGTGGTCACCACTAAGCAAAACTGCCATACATCTGCAACCTCAAGGGGTCGAGGACAAAGTCTCTGATCTTTCCGTCATGTCGACTTCCACGCTTTCTAAGCGCAGCCTGAGCGATTTTCCCGAAGAACTCCTGTGCGGAATTCTAGAGCAAGTCGGCTCGGGGCTCGACGATGAATACATCCCCGGCACCCCAGAGATGATCTACTCTCTATCTGCTACAAGCCGACAATTCAATCGGCTCACGGAGTCATACCTCTACAGGACCATCAAAACCGATCATAACCACTGCATAAAGCTGGTCCAGCGTCTGGAGAAAATGCCTACTCTAGCTCGACACATCAAGCGACTCGTCTGAGACAAGAAGTCTTATGAAACTCCGGGATGGTACAGAACGCTCTCGCGTCAGTTCAGAGCACCGAACCTTGAACGAAAACTCAATATATCCAACATCCGGTTGTACCTAATTCATGATCACTGGGGGGTTGCACGTGCCTCACTGACTCTGGTCTTGGTGCTCACCCCACAGCTAGAAGCTTTGGAGATTCTGGAGCCGGATCTCAGGTTTTCCAGCTATCGTTGCATAGATAACCTATCTCTCTAGGCTATGCTAGACGAGACCAGCCCATACTTCTCTCCCGGGGTAACCCACTGCCTCACCAACTTACGTACGATACGATTTGGCTAGCAAGGCGGCATGGACTTAACTGCGCTTTTCGCTGTCCTCCAATTACCAGTTCTGCGTACATTAAGCTTTCAAGGCCCACTCGAAGTCAGGGATGCAAATTGACATTTGACACCGATGGAACGCCTGGCACAGATAGCACAGCTAGCAAAACCTCCTCCTCGAAGCTCACCTATTGAGTATCTCCAAATCGAAAATAGCAGTATTCACTCGAAGTATGTAGCCATGATATTGCGCAGTATAAAAGCACTCAAAGAGCTCCGCTTGGTGTTTACTCTATTCAGATGCGCGCGATCGATAGCCATCTCCGAATGCAACGAGTACGGAATACCGGCGGTCCACTACCCTACCCTAAGCGGAGCTATCATGACAAATTGCGAATCCTCGGAGAACCTCACTTTACACAGTGATCTATCGGTCCCGCCACATATTTACTACTCAGCCGCGGTAGGATGTCTGCAATTGCAAAAATCTGTGACCTTCAGTATCTCAGGACCGACGTAGTAACCCTGTACCACGACGGAACATGCGAACTCTTCAATCCTCTTCCACCTAATATCCGTCGGCTTGATCTCGACACGCACGAGCCACTATGGCCATACTACAGGTGTCCGAAGGCCGCGCTTTTGAGTTTAGCTACGGACTGTGCGCAAAAGCATCCACTATTGAAAGAAATACGTATATTGCGACACACCACAAATGAATTGGCGACTTGGAGGGCGGTTTTCAGGATTTTCGGGGTGGTTGAAAAGGCGTTTGAATCGCAGAGTATGACTATCAAATTCTATATATCTTCGGTGTGATGGCGGAGGAAATGTGGAATCTATCTCTAAGTCGTAATCGCCACATAAAAAAGATTATTGCACTAGTCGAGCTCCAGTCTGAATGAAATCTGTCCTACTTCAACACCAAGCAAGCCAACATCACCAAAAGAGCAGGTTCATGTGATATGTACACTCTGCTAGAGAGAAGTTTCGCGGCACAAAAAGAACGTGCAGAGGAAGACTGCGTCTAATCTGAAGCATTCATTGGGTATATAAAGACGCGCATTCCACGCTCGTTGCTCGTTCACAGCCTGCCTGCTTGCATCAAGGCTCGATGAACCATCTATGGACTAGTATACAAAAACCGAATCATTCCTCGTGTGTTCATGCCATGTCAATGCAAATCGCTAAACGCCAAAAAAAGCCACAAAAGTGTGACGGATGGGGTATGCAGAATCGTAAACGCCGTGAAACGTCCCTCAGCCTCAAACTCAAACCGTGGGCTCTTCGGGTGTCTTGCCCATACCCTCGGCCTCATCCTCTGGGCTCTTAGGCTCGAGCTTAATACCAGCTTCTAGGCCCTTGCTTGTGGCTTCGTTGGTATCTGCTTCTTTGTTGGCAGCGCCGACGACTTCCTCGATCATGGCAGCGAAGTCGACAGTCATTCCACCGACGTTCATCTTCAGTAATGTAGAGGCATCCGGACCGGCGTTGCCATCCACGCTTTCGCGCTTAGAGCCATTCTCCATGTCAAGCATCATGGTTTCGTTGTCGAATATGTTATCGCCACTCCATAGACCCACAGTAGAAGTGTTGGGATCTTCGTAGAGGTCGAAGCCAAGTCCCGATGAGCCGTTCTTCGATGGCGAGCTGCTCACAGGCATGTCACTAGACAGGAAGTCATCGGGCAGGAACTCGCTAAAGTGAGCATCACTGCGACCGGGTGTGGTAAATGTGGGAAAAGCTGAAAAGTCGATAGTCTGCGAAGGCGACGAGATTGGGTGGTCAGACAGCAGTGCGTTGAGCTGACGGGTGAATGGTGTGTCTGGTGCAGCTGTTGTCGAACGGGTCACACGAGGACTCAAGATATTGCGAGATGGCGTTGAAGGTGCATCTCCGTTCCCTGCACCTCGTCTCGGCGTCAGAGCGATGCGTTTACGCGTGCTTGGAGTAGGGGTCTTTAGAGGATCCTGGGCAATCTGGTCCCTCTTAGGTGTGCTCTTGGGCGTAGGTTTCCGAGAACCAGGATCTTCGAAAAGGTGGGCGAGATCGTCCGTCTCTGCGGCAGGAGGGGGTGGGCAATTCTCCTTATCCGGGTTTTCTTGATCAACGATAGCCACTTGCGCCACTGGCTGCTTGAAGTACCACATCGTCTTTGACTCACACGGAATGCAGCCATCGTGGCCTATACCAGCATTCGCACAGCGGCCACATGGCCGTTCGCGGTCACAGCCTCTCTTGAGCTCCTTGCATCGTTGACACCGGGGTTTCTTGGGTGCGTCATCGTCAGGGATATACATTGGTGTGGCAATCGGAGTGGCGACATGAGCTGGAGGTGGGTCAGCCAGGGTCTTACGCCGACCTTGCTTCCTAGGAGATGGAAAAAGTAGACGCCTTGTGGGCTTTGGCGTGAGATCTTGGTCGATATCAATGGGAGACGTTTTGCTCCCTCTAACGCCAGCAGGGCTTGACTCAATGGCTCGATCGAAGGCAGCCTTGGCTGCTTCAGGATCAAGCTCACCCCTGCTAGGTGCGACAGCTGGCGGTGCCATTGTTCCGTCGATGGGCCTGTCAATGGACGAAGCAGCTTGGTCTTGATCCGGCATAGGAGGTTCAGACTCTGGCATGATGGCGTCAGACATGAGATCATCACCACCAGTCATAGACTTGGAGCGCGACCCCGCCTTCTGCTGCCTCTTGCGGTTGGCGAGACGCGCAGCGCGATCCCATACCTTCTGCGGCCTCATCGAAAACTTCTTGATAAGCCAGAGTCCGCATGGGTTACAGAGGTTGAGTTCTTCAAACGCCTCAGAGGACTTCGCAGCCATGATGTCCTTGTCTTCGCGCGTCAGGTTGTTCTTGAAGATACGGTATTTCGGCTCAGCATCCTCAGAGGACGATTCAATCACTTCGTATGCGATGATGTCGGTACCAGCAGTGTCGGTAGACAGCTCGATGTCCTTAGGTGTGCCGTTCTCCACGCGTGTGTAAGCCTTCCTCCATGTGACTGTGTCGATCTCCCCGCAGTTCACACAGTGCGGTGGCATTTCGCCTTTCCGAATAGCCGCGTCCAGCCGGTCTTTGATAACCCTCTTCCTCTTCGCGCCGGATCCACTTCGGGGGTACCCACACTCGGAGGGCGTGGGCGCATCAGACATGGGCTCTGCTCCGGACCATGTATGTGACCTTGGAAGTCCTCTCGGCTTGGACGGCTTTGTCTGCTTTGGCGGGAGATTTGGGGTAGCGGAGCGACTGTAGACTTGGGCTTCACTCTCGGCTGTTGGAGAAATATGTGACATCATGCCATCAGGCGAACCGGCTGTCGATACCGTAGCTCGTGACTTCTGCAGAGCGTTTTTATCTCCGAGGTTGTCATCCTGCTGTACCATGGACAGCCTTGCCATCAAATCACTGTCATCATTCGCGTCGTTTCTTTGGAAATAGACCGAATTGAAGATGTCCTGGTCCATGGTGTCGAAATCGAAAGCATGAGCGGTCATGTCCATCTCGATGCTTTGAGTGACTGGCTGGGTGACAGATTCGCGACGATGCTCCTGGGTTTGTCCATTCCAAAGCTTTTCAAAATCCATGCCATCGCCGTCTCGACTAGCCGGCATGTCGCTAACGAAACCGGAATCGTTTGGAGGTTGTGTCGGCAGGTCGGGGCTTGAGGCATCGGGCGATGTGGTTCGAACTGGTGCGATTGGAGGGGATGACGGCATCGGAGTATCTCCTGGGCTTCCATCTCTTTCATCTGCAGACTCCATCGCATTATCTGAGAAGACGCTACTCTCATACAGAGACACATATGGTCGTCCTCCATCCATGGATCCATGTCTTAGAGCACTAGGGGCGGGTGGGCGGCGTGATCCTCGCTGACTAAACTTCTCACCGGGGCGAGGCGTTGGCGCACGGGGCACCATATCTGAGGCGGCTCCTGAATTGCTAAGAGAAGGCTTGAGTAGGCGGACGGATGCTGCTGTGCTCGCTGTAACGCGCAGCGAATCGTTGTGGGCATTAAGTGGTGTATTCCTCGGTCTCGTGGTCTGGGTGATCCGTGCCCTCTTTTTCGGAGGTCCGTCTTCCTGTGGCTCAATGACATAAGGATCGCTAAACTGGAACTGCTGGGTCGGCTGGGCACCTTCACTCCTGACCGAGGTCCGTGACGCTGGCCGGGAGGGTGGATTATACTGATAGTGGTGGAAAGAGAGAGTGCTCATAGCAGGACTGGAAGCCCTAGTCGGCTGAGACATGAACGACATGTTCGACTGATCGTAGAAGGAGTCGTTCCGGGGTGGCTCTTGTGATGGGCTTTGGCGGGTAAGCATCTGGTGGAACGGCTCAACACCACCAATAGAAGGGCGTGGCGAAGGCTGTGCGGGGTATGGGCTGGGTTGGGCCAGATGACCCAATGCAGGGTTTTCCTTGAGAAAGTCGGACCAGGCGTTGTAATCGAACCCTTCAGGCATCAGCTGACTGAGGCTGTGGTACCGCTCCATGTTCTCGACATATTCCTTTTGCATGCATGTTGGAACAGGCACCAGCTTAAGCTTGACCTCCAAGGTTTCCTTGATTCCGTTCGAAAAGATGCCAAGGATGTTCTTGCACACGCGACCTGTGACCATGGTTTGTGAGTCTTTGGCCGGGGCATTGGGAGTTGGTGATGCTGAAGCGAGGATCCATGATAGCATGCCCTGGCCAACCAGCGGCGTTTCGTACTCGGAGAAGTCGTAAGCGTATACGGTGTAGTCATGGCCTAGTTTGGCTACGAGCTCGGGGCTGTGACAGTGAGCAGTCTGTTTCAATTAACCAATAAGCGGAAGAGTCGGCCTACCTTGCAGTCACAATAGCCTGAATGCAGGTCTTGAGTTCGATGACTCCTACCTCGGTGGTCTCGTCCAGCGATACGACAGGCACGTTCAGCACGCTTGGCAGACGGGCCAGGCAGTTTGACTTGTTCTGATCATCGAATGTGTAGAGTACCTTGACTGTGGTGCAGCTGTGTTAGATCAAGTCGTGATGAATGGGCACATGTGCTTGCCTCGCATTTGCCTGCGCGGTATTTCGTCCATTGTGCTCTCCTCGGCAGCGGACGGTGTGAGCGCGTGCTGCATCGCACCAGGATCCGGCGTGGTACTCGAGGGTGTCGACATGGCTGCCTATGAGATTGACAAAGGATAGGCGGGCCGTGATGAAGAAGAGAGGAGAAGGTTGTCGGGGGCGACGGGGTGGTCTATGTTATATCGCGATCGGTGGCTGGCGTGCGATCATCGCGAACGCGTTCGAGGTGAACTAAGAAGCGAGACTAAAAGCGACAAGAAGACGAATTGGCGGGGTAAACGGGTCTTTAAATATTTTCACGTGTAAAGAATGCCGAAATAGGCAACAGCACGCGTAAAGTGAAGGAGAGACGGGTCGTGGAGGGCGTCGTGACTGAGGTCGTGTGGTGAAAGTGAAGTTGCATGCACGAGCTCGGAGGTTTGACGCTACCCGCTTCGCGCTAACGCGGGGAGGACAAAGACGCGTGACGCACCTTCCATGCTAAAGTTTCAGCCCCACTCCCGACGCGTTGATTGGCTTCAAGCGCGGATAAAGTGTAGCTCCAGATCCGATTCTGCCAAGCTCGCTCACTTCATCGCCCTGCCTCATATCATCGCCGACCGATCCACCTCATCCAAGCGCGTTGCCGTGGTGTTCCTCCTTTCTAAAACTAGGTCAGTCTTTCCGCTCCTGGTCTGTGCATATCTTTTGCGCCGCCCCATCCTTGCGCGCTACTTCCCAGAGCAGCATATATCAAAATTCGCAGGCAGAAGCTCGAGAGCTAGAAAGTTGACCTGTAATAGTTCCAAGTCGTATACTCTCTTCCTCCCTGCTTCATCGCACGACTCGACAAAATGGTGGACGCAAAGATTCAGTACGTATCACTGCCAGAACATTCACCGCTATATGAGCTAACATTACGCAGAGAGCTTCTATCCAAGCCCCGTTCGGAGTTGACGTACGTATATCCTACAATTCACAACAACGCAGGTACTGACATTGCTGCCTAGCGAGTACGAAGTTGCTCAGGTCGAAGAACATGAGCTCACCACCGGTCCCCTCTCCATCCTCCAGACCGCCGTCCGCTCGCGCACACAAGTCCTGATCTCGTGCCGAAACAATCGCAAGATCCTTGCACGTGTCAAGGCTTTCGACCGTCATTGCAACATGGTTCTCGAGAACGCGAAAGAGATGTGGACTGAGACTCCACGGTTAGCCAACGGCAGCTACGGAAGGAAGGTCAACAAGGACCGCTTCATTTCCAAGCTGTGCGTTCAACTTATACTCTACATTTGCGCATGCGCTGACTTCTATAGGTTCCTACGCGGCGACTCGGTCATTCTCGTCTTGCTATCATAAGAGCTTGGAAGCACTGGGGATTTGGGACGGTAGCGCCAGATCGAAGCGCACGAAATGGAGTTGGAATGAATTAAAAGTTACATAAACGTCGCGAAATCGGCGAGGAACACCGAACGAATCAAACAACGATACCCCAACTTCTACTTCTTCAAACCGTCGCTCAGGCCCAGTAGGAGCTCCGCGAGGCCATGCGCGCCAGGGTCTGGAACCTCTTGGAAACCCTCGCCTCCAACGTAGACCGTTCGCCCCAAGCTCGCTTTCATACCCTTCGTCCCTTGCGCGCCGCCTTGTGCCGCCGCAGCCGCTTTGTCGATACTTTCCGTCTTGGACAGCGTCTCAACGAACGGATATAGGGCATCCATCAGCGTTCGGTCACCGGGTTTGGCAGGAGTGTATTTGCCGAGTGCCTTGAGCGATGAGTCAAGGGCCTTGGCCCAGATTGCGGGTGTGACAGGCTGTGGCGACGAGGGCGCGTTTTGTCGCAATCCATGCGCCAGCGCATTCAAGAAGATGGCGTAGATTGCACCTGACGTGCCGTCCATAGCCAGCTCCACCACTTGAATGATGTGATTCATGAGGATCAGCAGATCATCCGTCTCCTTTGCCGTTTCGAGCATCTTCAGAATTGCTGTTGGGTGTCAGCGCCAGGCATCAATGCACACGTGATGAGAGCCTACCTTCTGCGCCGCGCTTGAGTCCGATTCCGCAATCGCCATCTCCAACTATTGTGTCGTATCGGGTGACGTCCGGCTCAGCCTTGATGAGTCTGTTCAGCGCTACCGTCATGGTTGACTTAACCTGAGCATAGTTGACTGTTCAAGTTAGCACGTATACTACGCAACACTGTGGGCACTTACCTCTTAGATCACTTGGCTGAATATCTTCTTCATCTACCTGTTCCTCATTCTTCTTCGCCTCTCCACGCCTTGCCCATGTGCTGCTATTAATTGCCGCAGACCAGCCACTTGCCTCAGCGGGCGCATCGAGCAGCTCGAGCATAGAAGCGTCGGCGACTCTAAGCAAGCTAATGGAGAAGCCCAAGCCATTCAAACTGGTCATGAAGGTGCCAGCTAGAATACGCACTGGCTTGATCTTGAAGCTGTCTGCTAGTTGCTCGACGACTTCGTTCGTGATTCCGCTTAGCTCGAGTGGACTGACACCTCCCAGGTTGTTGACCAGTAGTACCACATCGTCCTTGTCGGTAATCTTGGAGAAGCTTCGGTCCTGATCGGCGACGTCCAAGCAGTGCGACAGCATAGTCTTTACAAGACCAGATAGATCGATTTTCTTGCGCTCTGAACCGGCTTCGTTGTGGATGCCCATTCCAATCTCGACTAGGCCTTCAGCCAACTCGTCTTCCTCTGCCTCTCGGCGACCTGGCACGTGGACGTGAGCCAGTGAAGAACCGATTGAGACGGTGTTGTCTGCGACGAGCTGGGCCATCTGCGTTACATCTTTGAGACTCGCTCTACGCTGACGTCAGTTATCATCGTCCTGACAGTCATCATATTGGTGTGGTACGTACCCTTTAGCAGCGAGCGCACCGGCTATTTTCTGCACAAGCACGGTTCCTGCAATACCTCTGCGCCCGACCTTTCCTCCCTTCGCGCGCCCAACACCGGCATCGTCGCCAACCACCACCATGTCGACTTCGATCCCAGCGGCACGTGCCTTCTCCACGGCCATGCCGAAATTGAGCACATCGCCAGTATAGTTCATTACAATCACAAGGACACCCTTGTCTTTTTGAATGCGATGCAAGATGCATCTTCGCACCTGTTCTGCACTCGGCGACGCGAAGATTGTACCTGCGACTGCTCCGGATAAAAGGCCCGCCCCGACAAAGGATGCGAATGAGGGTTCGTGACCACTACCACCTCCGGAAACTATGCTGACTTGCGATGCGCCATTCTTGCGGTAGACGATCTTGTTGTTGATGTCGCATTGCACAGAGGGGTTTGTTTGGGGGATGCTGAGAAGCGCGGTGTTGACAAGGTGTGTCGGGTCGTGGATAAAATGTCTCGCTGGGAATGTTAGCTGCCTGGTCGCATAGGTTCTGGTAGCAGTGCATACATGACATTGTGACTACTATGTGTTCAGCTCAATGGTATGCGCGAAATGGTGTACAACGACAGCACTGAAAGCAGAACAGAATTGGAAGAAGTAGCATGACGAAACACCAAGAAACCTTCAATACCCGACCCGACGACAAGCAATCATACCACCATTCCTTCGTGTCATTTGACATATGCCGACACTACTGTGGCCACACGGAAACGCGTCCGCGTTCCGTCTTGTTTCCAGGCATTTGGAGAGCTCCAGTGCTCTAAGTGGGGTTACGCAGATGCGTGAGGGGTAGCTTTCCATTACTGTGGGGTCGCTCCTTCCCCCGGACCACCGAGATGTCAGCAAGCATAGGCATCGGCTTCCTCTTCTGGGTGATTCCGTACCGAGTTTCGGTCTTCCGACCACTCTTACACCAAGCATTGACGACTACCACGAGCCTCATATGGGGCAGGTCCGGGAGGCTGAAGCTCATGCATGCGGCCATGCTTGCTTTTTCGCTCTCGATATTCGACGGTCGGACATCACCTACGCGCCCAGAGTTCATTACCCAACAATACGACTTTGGGCATGAATGACCGATTGCCGCCGTGATGATCGTCAACTGGGCACGATGCCCTTGCGTTTATGGAGGAGATAGCGAGACGCGCTCACGCCTACCACTAGGTCGCCATTGCAGTTATGGAGCGGTACCTAGAGTGTGAATAGATGGCACATACCCTTGGTTGCCTCAGCCTTCGACTGGACATGGTACTTTCGCTACCACGAAATTTGTGCGGAGCCACATGGACTCGCACACACCTGAAAGAATCTCAGTGTCTCATGTAGCTTCACACCTACATTCACCTCACGCCTCCCTCAGCAATCATGTCTGAGCTCGAATCCTCCGTTTCGTGGGCTGAGAGATGTTACAAGATCAATGCGAAGAGAAGCCCACTATACGCCCTTCCCTACGAGGTCCTAGCCCATATACGGGGGTACTTGGATCACACCGAGAAGATTTGCTTCGTACTGTCAGGTGCAAAGTTAATCGAAACTTTCCCATTCATCACTGTTCAAGAAGATAAAGTCGGCGATATCAGGATCGGCGTCTATGTTCGGCTCCTGAGAGACGATTTCTACAAAGAAGCTCACAAAGAATCTGGAACCTGGTGCGTCTATTGTGCAGATGTCCACGAAGATCCGCGCTTCGTCGGGAAGATGCTCTGTTACCTACCACGGGATCGGAGGTGTTCCCCTACACTCAAGCTCTGCTCACACTGGTCTTATTCTCTGGAATCTCCGAAGGCTAATGTAGCAAGAGCTGCGTCTTTCAGAGGTAGACAAGCGATGCACCTTGGTCTCAGGTACTATACTTGTGAAACAGGTTTGGAGGAAAGCCGCATATACTCGAACGGTCGTCGCGTTACATACGATCGGATCAGTGGAGACTACATCCTGAGAAGTCTCATAGTCATCGACTTTGCGAAAGTAGAAGCCTCGGACTTATATACAAAAGCTCGTGCAGACCTACAAGCCCTCGATTTCACAGCATGTCTACATATGCGAACCTCAGAGGAAAGCACCATAAAATCGTCTTGTCGATGCAGAGACCGGAGCCTTCAAAGCAGAAAAGCTGCATGAAGTCTACCGCGTACATTGCGAGCACTGTAAGACGATGGCACGAACTAAAGCCGTCAGCATCCGGGGCACTACAGGTTTCTACCGACCAGACAAGAGCTCAGGACTGAGGATAGATATTCTACGCAACTTAAGCAAATTGACAAACGAAGACAATCCGATATGGAGAGCGCATCTCCAAGAGCGGCAATTGAAAGTCACGAAGGACCAAGGCGATCTGATTCGGCTTGAACTGGGCTGGATACTACAATGAGAGAGAGAGAGTGTGTGTGTGTGAAGAAGCAAGAGCTACGTGCATGGCCTGCCAAGATGGAGAGCGTGTCGGGGCTCGCGGAGTATGTTCGGCGTGGACAAAAGCTACCCCACCATCTGATAAGATTCTGATCTACACCCCCACCAATCTGTCGCGTCGAGCTTCCCGTCCATCGCGTCCTCACGCCATTCGTCTCATCTCCAAATTTACACGTCGCATTGGGCAACCTCAGAATCTCTGCGTCGGTTTACAATAAGCGAATCTTAACGCGAACATGGCGCACCCAGGCACCGCCCACAAATACACCAAAGGCCTCATCGCCTTCGAACACGCCTCCGCTCACCCTTCGCCTTCCTACAACACCATCCTCTGGATAGGCGGCCTAACAGACGGCCTCCTCACCGTCCCCTACCCCGCGCTCATCGCAGCCTCCCTACCACCCACCTGGTCTCTCGCCGAAGTACTCATTACTTCCTCTTACAGCGGCTGGGGCACCGGTAGCCTGGCGCGCGACGCAGCCGAACTAGGGGAATGCGTGGCATATTTCAAGAAACTACGGCCGCTGAGGAAGATTGTGCTTATGGGGCATTCGACGGGGTGTCAGGACATCATGGAATACCTGCTTGGTAAAGGAAATGAGGAGAGGGAGAATGTAGATGGCATAATACTACAGGGTGGTGTTAGTGACAGGGAGGCTTGGGAGGACTACTATAAAGAGGGGGAGAGGAGAAAGCAACTAGAAGGTGCGATTGCGATGGCGAAGGAATTGGTGGATGCAGGCAAAGGCGAAGAGATCTTATCGCCAGAAAGCAATCCCGTCTTCAAAGACATGGGCGGCCCACTCAACGCATACCGCGCCTACGCCCTACTCGCTAAGAACGGCGACGACGACTACTTCTCCAGCGACCTACCCGACTCACACTTCTCCACAACATTCGGCCGGATACCCCCCACCACACCCGTCTGCTTCCTCCTCGGATCCGAAGACCCGTACGTGCCCGTGAGCATCGACCGAGCAGCCCTACTCCGGCGCTGGACGAGGATAATACGGGAAGGCGATGGTGTTGTCGATGATGAAGATGGTGGTGTGATACCGGGTGCACATCACAATCTTGATGGGGACCCCGAGGAGGTTGTGCAGGATCTCGTGAGGAGGGTTGTTGGGTTTGTTACGGGGTTGGGTGGAGAGAGGGTGTGGAATAGTACTGGCGTTGAATGTTTGGCAGGAATGGGGTCTCTACAGTCGAACAAGGACTAGGACACGCAATGTTGTACAATTGAATATCAGTGTAGATCTCTGCATGCTTCATTTGTACACACCGTGTTCTTGCCAAGTTCTATCACAGTAGATAATACATCTGACCTTTCTGCTCTAACTGAGTAGTTGTACAACACGAAATTTCAAAAACATGAGAAGCACACACTTCTTCAGTATAATATATTACCGTGGCATACTAGCCACGCACGCCACTGCCTATCGGCCCATCCTCTACTCAACGATATCTAGCTTTTGGTATCCCCATCACATCCCAACCCAACCCATAATGCCGTTAATTCATCCAATCTCTAACCCCAAAGAAAGGAAAAGAGCATCCAAAGCTCTACCGTGTACCAATAACTCAAACGCCCACGCAATGCAAAAACAACCCCACGCTATCTCCGCGACACTCAGTCAAAACCACTCCTCCACTGTTTTCCCATGAACTCTTCAAGTCGCTTCGCAAAGTACCTCTTCCGTTTCCGCTCTGCTTCTTCTTTTGATTCAGCCGGTAACACCTGGGTATCCTAAGCCCCCGGTATACCAGGCTCCTCGAATACCGCCTGAACAACCCATTGCTCGCCGAACTTAATCCCTTTCCCGCCACTGATACCAGCATTACGCCAAGGCCGATTGACACCGATATCCACGATCCAAATAAGCCACTGTGGATCGCGTCCCGAGCCATTCTGCAGCGCTTTAACAAGCCCCGTGCGAGGCGCACCAAGACAAACGATGTACTTTGCGCGGACTTCCAGCGGTTCGCCTTCTAGGATGGAGACTTCGCCTGTGGAACCGCCAACGCCGGAGGGTGTTTCGACAGCGAGACAGGCGGCGCGCGATTTATTGGCCCAGCCGACGATGTTGAGGACAACGCGTTGGTCTTCGAGGCCGAGGGCTTCGAATTCTTTGTGGCGGCCGAGCAGGGCGTCGATGATGAGTTCTGGTGGTGCCTGAAGACGCTTTAGGGCTTCTTCTGTGGCGCTCCAGGAGCGGACGGTGCCGCCGAATTTGCGGAAGAGCTCGACTTGGCGGCGGATGTCCTTATCCCAGTCTGCGTTGCGTTCGAAGCCGAGGAGAGCGACCATGACTTTCGGTCCGCGTTGGGCGAGGTGTCGTGCTGCTGCTACTGCGCGTGCGCCTCCGCGATGGTTGCCTGCGAGGACTACAATGACGGGGTTGGCGTTTAGGTTGGCGCGTGAGAGACGCATGCCGCCGGGATTTATAGCGATCAGAGCGACTTCTGCAATACCCCGTCCTGAGTTCTCTGCCATGATGTCTTCATTGAGGCCGAAATCTACCTCAGCAGTTTCTTCAACTGCCAGCATAGCGCCAGGAGTAATGGCGAAACACTTACGGTTATTTGACACCAATCGTAAGCAGCCCTTAGCGCTAGACTCGAGAGGTGACTCTGGTGGTGAAGCAACGCGTCCTGGCCTGGGACTGCCGGTAGCATGTGAGGACGTGTAGGGGCGGTTGATGAACGAACGGTTAGTACGTGGCAACACGCCTGAGCCCATCATATCCATATCGGCCTGTACGCTGCCTTGCCTTGTTGGTGCCAGCTTGACTGAAGCCCTGGACATTGCCCTTCTAGAATTACGTCCGCTGCCGAAGTCCTCCTCCTCCTCAGAGCTTGTGTTGGTCGCGCTTTTCAGCTTCCGATCCAGCACGTTTTCTGTAGGATGGAGGTTCTTCCCGCCGTGTGTACCAGGTCTTGCCAACCGATTAAAGCTGACCAAGCGATCCTCATCTGCAGTGGTGTCCTCATTCCTAATCTGATTGAACACCGTACGCTTGTCGAATTTCGAGAGGTTACTCTGGAAGTCAAACTCAGGCATGTCCTGAATATCGGTCGCGTCTTCCGTAGCCCATCCGTTTGTAGCTTCGAGCGCCTGCTGCCGTTTCGTTTTGCGATTCGACGCGTTCGCCGCTGCGAGACCGACTCTACCGCCGATGACTCCGGGAGTTCTCGTTTGTGGCTGTTCGGCGGCTTGTAGCATGGGAGTGTTTCTCCAACCATTGCCTTTACTAGTAGAGGTTAGCCCCTGAGTATGCGACGCCTAATTTGAAAATTGTAATTCCACATACCCTTTCTTAACAGCCTCAACATCACCATTCTTCCTCTCTTGAGCGGCAAGTTCCTTCTTACGAGACTTGCCTCCTCTCCGAGTCTTCTTGCCGTTGTCGTCGTTCTTCTGCGGGCTGGGGTCATCCATGGGCTTGCCGGTCCTAGTCTTGGTGATGCTTGCCCTTCGTGCAGTCACCTGTGCTGTCCGCGCCTCACTGTCTGCCTCCTCAGCATCCGCAATGTCCAGAGACGAGAAGGGACCTTCCAAAGTGGCCGCGCTTGGCTTTCGGACATTGTGATGTTTCGCATGGCCTGCGAACGAGGACGTGTTCTTCGGGAGAGCCGCTGCGCTCGCAGCAGCCATAGGCTTTATTGGCGTCGCCGGAGCTTCCTGGGGGGTTGCGGAAACGGGACCACCCAAGATAGGAGCGGTAGAAGTGCGCTTCCCCATGCTGAGAATCGCGGGGTCGACGAACGGCGCTGCTTGAGCTGCTTGAGCTGGCTGAGGAGCAGGTTGGCGAGACGCTTGACGAGCATTCTGGTAGGCAGGTGCGCCTGCAGGCGGGATCGCGGACGGCTGACTAACAAGATGCGGAACTTGCTGGCCCATATGCTGTGACTGGCGCTGGACATGGCCCGGAGGATATTGCGAGTGCGAGTATGTCTGCGGGCCTGATCGCGGCGGGAGAGGTTGGGAAGGAGCGGGCGCTGACGGATTGACCTTGATATCTGCAATCATGTCTCCGTTTACCGTGTAGGAAGCGACACGGTGACCCGAGTTGGGGAAGAAGACTACACACGTCAGCGTAAGCCCATAATCATGAATTCTGGCTGCGGCATACCATCTTGGAGAACGAGTGTAGCTGTCTGCTGGTCCACGCCGCTGACCACGCCCACGACGACAGCACCTGGGGGAGACCGCAGCGTCACCGCGACCGATAATCCGACGAAAGCGGTGGCCATGTTTGCGGTAGATCGGACGTGTTGGAGGTGGAGCGGTGATCCCAAGTCCGTTGTAACCCCAACCTAACTATTTCGCGGGTTGTGCTTTCGCGCTAGTGGTCATCCAACGGCTGCGTCTTCACATGCTCAGCATAGAAGGGACACCCGGTTACACGTCGTGCCAGGCACACCCTGTATAGAAAAGAAAACGACCAGATGCAAATAGGCTGTGCAGCCAACAATGGCATGAGATGCAGAATTAAGAATGTTCACGAGCGATGTAAATTTCTGGTTCATCTACATTCTACCACTGTGCCTAGGCGAGCACGCGCCCAGCTACTCCTTCGAATGACGTACACGCGAAAAGGAGACAGAAGGAAGAATAACTCATGTTCATTACGCGTATTCATCTAACTAAGCCCGCCTCATCGCCCAAAACCAAAGCAAATAATCCAGGGTATCCATACAATCATTCCATCTCATCGCGACTCATCAACTGTGAGGCGCAAGTCTCGTGCACCTCGAATGATAACGCGATGTTCCCAGTTCCGCATCAAACAAGTTCCCACTGTGCCACACTGCCGAACATGCACGAGTACGCCTTTTTGTTGTTCCAGGTAGTCAGGCTCAACCCACGTGCGTCCTTGTTATTAAATTCCGTCACCGCCGCAATCGAAATCTTCTGGCCCGGCGCACCGAGGTCAATGCGCGGGACGTCGAGCCACCAGATGCGCCCGTCCGTGTTGAACGGCTTGTAGTCTGGCTTCCGACCGTCCCTGCCGGCAACGCTTAGGAGCATAATATAGGGCGGTCCCTTTCCGTTGATCTGGGGATCCCAGTGCGGACAGACGAATGACATTTGGAACCGGACTACTGCTGGTGCGTAAGGGTCGTTTACTTTGATTTTGGCTTGAGATGGTTCGAAGGTTCGCTCGCCGAAGCCGTGGAGCTTCATGCCGTTGCCGCAGAGAAATAGACGCCCACCCTCGTCATGTCGCATATATTCTTCGTAGGACATGATGCGTCCGTCGGTGCGGAACTGGTGAGAGGCTTCTCCGGGGTAGTGCTTCAATCCGAAGTCGTTGTTGTCCATGATGAAATGCTCGGGAGCAAAGGCTCGTATGTATCTGGTGAGTGTTGGTCATTGATTGACGGATGATGGACTGCGAAAAGAACATAGGTTGGAAAACGTACCCTTCGCCCTTATTACGACACCCCAGGTGTCCAGCTCCCCAACAGGGATCAATAAGCTTCCATTCACCGTTGTCGATCTTGACAGCGTTCCAGGCATGTGTCGATTCATAAGGTGGTAGAGGTTGGCCAGGCTCCAGAGGCGCGTGACCGTAGCCCTTGCACGCACCGGAACAGACCATAGCCTCCAACCCAGCTTTCAGAGCCAGAGCAGCGAATAGACCGGCATATCCTTCGCATACTGCCAGACCCGATGCAATCGTCTTTTCGGGGGTGGTAGGCATGACCGTACCATTGAAGAACGAGTGAGCATCGTAGTCAACGTTATGATGAAGCCATGTGAAAATCGCCCGAGCTTTGTCTGTAGGCGAGGGGAACTGTGAGCACAGCTGATGAGCAAGCCAGCCCACGTCGGAGTTGGGAAGTTGGGTACGAGGGAACTGCGCAGCGTGATTGTCTGGACCTGAGAAATCCCGACACTTCAGACAACTTGATGGAGCAGCACCTGGTTTCGGCTTGGATGCCATGATGGCACTGAGATTTGGTCTGGACGACATTGGAACAGGTGGTGGCGCACCAAGAGCCGGGGCTGAATCAGATGTAACTGCTGGTGGCCGAGTTGATGGCACAGGGGGAGGAGTAGCCGCCTTATTATTGAAGCCCATATCCAACGCTGATCGACGTGGTGGCGGTGGTGCGATCACTCTGTTCGTTCGGGAAGTGTCGTTTGAGGATTGTCTTTGTGGCAGCGCTGGCACAGGCTGAGGTGATCGCTCGCGAACGATGGACTGTCTAGGAGGTAGAGAGGGTCTTGCCGGAAGGTCTACACATCATTCTGTTAGCGGTGCTCTCCAAGCGTGACCCAGCCATATCCTACTTACTGGGAGTTTTGAGTTGGGGAGGCAGTGCCTGGGCAGGCACATAATCCCTTTTGCTCTTCATAGCGTTCAGGGTCGCCTTGCTCTGTTTAGGGTCCTCGGGTGCTTTCTTGGGTGGCAGTGGTGGCAGCTTTGACGGGTCGTAGGCCGGAGCCCTGACCTGATACACTGTGCCCGTACTTCCATTGCTGTACCCCGAGCCATTCGTCTTCACAGAGCCCAATGACAGCGTCGATATACCCGATGCGATTGTGGAAATTGACTCGGAGGACTCGCGCCTTCGCACGCTTGATTCGGACGCCTTGCGCGGAGGCAGTGTTGGCGTTTGCCGAGGCGTGCTGGCATTGCGCGGAGGCGGACGAGGAGGCAGCGCGGGCGAAACCTTTAGTTTCTCGGATTCGTTCACTACTATGGGCTGGTTGCCGAGTTGTCGCGCGGAGGTAGGCGCATTGCTCAGGACTGGCGGGTTGTTGACTGTCTGGCGCGAGTAGGCAGGAGGGCGCGCGCTTGGCGGCGGTGGAGGTGGCTTCTTCTTTGCAGTCGAAGCATCGTAGGAGTAGGTCGGCTTCGCGCCTGGCGTAGGAGTGTGGACCTCCTCGAGGTTGAGCGCGGCAATCCTCGACTTTATCGACCCTTCAGCCATCACGGTCGCGTTAGACGCCTGTGGGGTGATCGACGGTTTTAGGTGTGGCTGGTGCTCAGTGGAGTCAACAGGAGCAGCAATTGGTGGTGTCCGTCGACGTGCAACCTCTCATTGCGCGGCGAGGGAGAGGCTACAGAGAGGGTGGGTAGAGTGAAGGAACGTGTCAGTATGACGAGACGAGGCTTGTCCGCCCAACAAGAGGCACGCCTGACCGCGAGGGATAATTGCAGGCAGAAACGATGCACAGCCTGGATCTCAGTTCGCGCTAGTCCTTTTCAGCCACACCCCGCTTAAACCCGCGACTTAAGCTTTCCCTCTCGTCTCAAAATAGCCCGGACCGATCCTCAGGGCTGACACTCTGGTGCTGGCTTAGTGGTAGATAGCTCATGGCTTTCCCAGACTATTGAATGACATCAACGTGCCTTGGTCGCCGCGACTGTCATTTGTCGTGGCACGAGGTTCGCATGACGTTTCAGACTGCGCTTACATACATGCTTATGCTGTGCACCCGTTACCAAATCCTCACCGGTGCATGGGGTCGTGCCGTACAGGTACATGCAGATGACATAAGTGGCCTCGACGACGATCTTCCTGGATGCATGAATACCTCGACGTCTGTTGTTGGTAGGAAGTTCTCAATTTTTGGATATTCTACCTTACCGTGTGAAGTAGTCATTTATTCTATGGTTGTATCACCACATGCAACGAGCGTCTGATTTTAACATTTCTTTGTTGACTATCGCACACGAAATCGCTATTGTATCAAACAAGTCGTAAGTAGAACATATGGAGTCGCCAAAGCAAGCACATAGACAACCCCTACACTCCATTCCCAATCCGCCCAAAACCTCTACCCAGCCTTTGCCGTCCATATCGCTAACCAGTCCGCCCAACTCTAACCTAGAACACCATAGCAATTTCAACTCGTGCTCGCGCATCGCTGCGCAACGATAAGAATAACGTGCGAAAAGACACTTTTACTCTTGTTGAAAGGAGAGGACGGGCAGTCGCTGAAGATACCACCAAATAATGCAATGCGAGAGCTCGCTATTCAAAACGCCAGAGAAGAGTGTGAGTGAAGTGTGGTGAATACAACCTTGTAGCGAGACGCGTGATGCGAATTGACGATGTCTAACCGCTACCTCTTGCGCTTCTTGCTCTTGTCCAGTGCTGTGCTCATGGAGTAAGCATCTTGCATCGGCATGTGATAGTCGTGCATTGGGGGAGGCGCCATGGAGGTCGCCGATGAGACTGAGTTCTTCTTGACCGAGACCCCCATGTGGCGTCCGTAGCGACCCTTCCTGCCGTTGCCCTCGTCTTCGCTGACACATCCGTCGGCACCGATTCCGGCGTCTTTGCAGCGCTGGCATGGTCGCTGACGGTCACAACCCTTCTTGCTCTTGCGGCAGCGTTGGCAGCGTGGCTTGCTCGAGAGATCCTCCTCATCGACGCCGAGCTGATGCTGGAAGTTCAGCGATGCGTTGGAAGCCTTGCGCGACTGAGAGGGGAGGGAAGATGGTGACATTGGGGCCTTGGTGGTGCCGTTGACCTTGGATTTGCTCTTGGAAGTGGCACGGGGCTTGCCAGACTTGCTCGACACGGAGCGAGCCTTGATGATGCCAGCGTGTACGCGGTGGTTGTGCTCATCGGCAATCATCTCATCACTAGCTCCCTTGAAAGAGCCATCTCGGTCGTCCTCATAGTCCTCACCACTGCTCTCGGCTTCGTCGTAGACACGCGTGTGGTCGTTCATTGCACGAGCCATGTTGTACGGGAGGGGAGGAAGCTCACTTTCGTCGTCGCTACCATCAGCGCTCTCGTCACTTGAGGATGCCGCGGCTTTTCCGCTAAAGGCATCATCGAGCGTTGAGGTAGACGTGCGACCGTGGCCGGAGAAGTTGGACGCATCACCCAAGCGCATGAGCTGGCGAGCGACATCCTCATCAGAGATGACGCTGATACTCGCAAGAGTGGTGTCAGGGGTAGGAAGGACTCCACCGCTTCCAGAGTAGCGGTAGTGGGAGTGCTGAGCAGAGCCACGCGCACGAGACTTGTATCCCTGAGCCTGGCTACTAGCTGCAGAGTATGGTGTGACTAGTCCTTGAAGATATGAACTGTCGCCCGGACCGTAGCTCTGCGGGGAGGGCAGCGGATGCGAGTATGAGAATGTCTGCTGGTTGGCAGAGTATGGCGAGCCCGCAGTGTTTCCGCTGATGCGTCGCTGGGGGGATACGGACGACTGTGAAGCATTCATGGGGACTTGAGGCGGTACGAACAGAGGCAGCTCCTATGGAAGGAACGAGTGTCAGACTAATGCACGATACATGCCCACTGTAGGTACTTACCGAGCTGTCGAATTTGGCACGCTTTCGGCGGCCACCTTCGACAATGTTGTCAACGCTAATCTCAGCGCTCGCCAATGGCTCTTTCCTTGAGCGTCGCGAGCTGCTGACAGAGCCATGCTCGTCGTCGCTGTCGCTGTAGCCGTCGCCATTGGCGTCAGCGAAGCTTCCGTGCGAGCTGTTTCCGCGACTCTTTATAGACGGGCGCATGCGCTTGTTGATGGACGCGCTCCTCCGACCACGATGTGGGGAGTGGCTCTGGCGCGCATGACGGGACCCCGCTCTCGAGCCTTGGTGATGCTGGATCGGCGGTAGCATCTGGAAGGCTTCGTCGAGGTGGGGTCGAGCGCGACGGGGCGAGATGGTCTGCTGGCGCGGATCAGGAGAGTAGTCCTCTGCATCCAGAGTCTCTGGAGAGACTCGGACGTAGACGGTCATGCCATGTTCAAAGTTCTCGAAGCGCGCAATCAGCGTGTTGCCGTGGCGGTCCTCGAATATGACGCCTCGACGCTCATACAGACCGTAGAAGTTCTTGACCGTTGTGATGATGGAGTCCGTGGTGTCGTGAGGGTATATGTCGACTCGCATGGGTAGTCGGGCCTTGTGTGCTGGCGACTGAGGGAGCAGCAGCTCGAAGCTGACGTGCTTCTTGGGCGTCTGCTTGGAGGGCGACAGGGAGTCGTGCGCCGAGCCAGTTTCGGTGCTCGGGTACACGTCCATGATGCCAGAGTCTTCTCTCTGAGGCAGCATGTCGTAGCCAGACTCCATCTGCATGGCGTCGTGGTGTCGGCCCGCTAGGAGCTCTTCCACCTCAGGGCAGCGTTGTGCGCCCGCAGCCCGAGGTTCCGCAAGCATGTTGGAAACTTGCATGCCAATGTCTCTGGGGTTGAGTTTGTATTCCAAAGCCTCTAAAACGAGCTTGTGTATGTGTGTGTGGTTGGGCGGCGCACCGATCCTGCCGGTGTCGCAAGGGCTTGGGACGGATGGCGGTCGGAGAAGGATAAACGGGCGTCGGGTCTGGGAGGCGACATGTTAGCAGATGGTCGCTGATGAGGTTTGGTGGCCTGCTGAGTGCTTCTTGCGTTGTTCTGCGAAGCCTGTGTCGGGCTGGAGGCGGTTGGGGGCTCGTCACCGCTGGCCAGTTGCGGACTACAGGGAGAAGGTGACGACAGCGCGGAACACCCAGGGGGCGGCGTCGCAGTCACCTGTCGAGCCCAAGCCGGTCGCAAAGGCCTATGGAGAAATGTACTTACCAACAGATATGTCTAGAGCGCTGGATGGGCAGTGGATGCTTCGATCCGATTCCGTGAGTGTACCGCCGCTGGCTGCGCACGTCAGGTTAGCGACCGGAATGCGCAGGGTAGGATTGACTCTATCTGAGCGCCAGAGTGCAATCTCAGATGAGCCGTAGGCTTGATGGAAAGGGTTGAGGCTTACAGAGAGGAGGTGGTGTGGGACGGAGGAGAATGGTGTGGAGGGTGGGTTGCAGATGGGAGATGTTCGCAAGCGAACAGAGACACCGACTAAGGACCAAGGACCACTCCAGGTCACGACGTACTTTCCGAATGCGCCTCAAACTAAATGGCGGTCGCCTTTACACACACGTCCAGAATCTGCGATGCAAATTTATATTGTCAAAACGGTTTGAACAGTACAGCGCATCCTCCCCGCTGCATATATGCGATTGCGCCTCCATTGGTAACTAGTATATACACTACTACACAGAACAGCCCACCTCAGTCCCTCAGTCACGCAAAAGGGCTAAGACTGCATGGCAGTTGGAGAAGCCCCCAGCTTTCGTCCCATCTGGTGTGCCTGTCTTTGAGGTCGAAACATGGGACAACTCGGCGGCAGCTATGCGCCCAATGATAGACGGGGACTAGAATGCATGCCACAGGACAACTCAATCGCTTGTTGACTATACCTGCGCAAGAGAGCCGATCTCAACAAGGTCAAACATGGCCAATGGGCGGATACGCGGCGTGCTGGTCGAGATGCGTACGTTCCATGTGAATATGGACAGGACGAGCTTTAGCACCCTGATACCCCGATGCGCCATCGCGAGCACATAAGAGTACTCGAATACTACACTCCGGGTCGCCTTCACACAGAATTCTAGTCAGAGTGCTAAGGAAGCTTCCGGTCCCGAAAGTGGGTGAAGCGCTGTGGATTCGTTGGCAACTGGTGCCGGGCGTCTATTGGAGAGATCTCCGTGTGACACTCAATGCCACACGCCTGCTTCCGTAGTTCCCCTTTGCAGACAACCGTCCCTGAATGAGTCGCCACAGGATTCCCTAGAGGCTCGTGCTACTTATGAATTACGCGACCAAGGAATTATGTCTACATGTGCTCCCGCAATCGTCTGATGATCTCGGACCCACACTTTCATGACGATGGTAGCGCAAGGCCCAGGAATCGAGCCGCGGATAGTCTACACACCCGCTGTGGTGTGGAAGCCATGCTTTGACCGGATTATCGCCGTTTGTTATCTTGCTTCTCAGATTCCGACCCTGCATGTGCGCGAGCGGATCATGGCGAGGGTACATATGTAGCGCGGCATGCGACTTCCCAAATCCGTGGCGTGAAGCTCGGACAACCACTCTAAGTGATGAGGGGTCGATTAAGAAGTCTGAACAGCATGTCTCCCGCACTTTGCGCAAACACGTTTCAGAAGGGATCCCGGTCGCGGACCATTTCGAAAGACGTTGTGCGCATTTTTGGCTCCATGCGATCTCGCTACGGATGGGATCGGTCCACACAGTTAGTCGGTGAGGCTCTCGGCCTATACAGCCCGCGGGGACAAAGCAAAGGAAAGACGCGATAACGTCGCCGGTTTCAGGGCTTCCAACGTTCCCCAGACGCATTACCTTCCTCCAGACTGCCTGGGACAACGCCGGCGCAACAAAGGCAAGCGCAGGCTGCCGTTTGATATCTGGTGGCAGTGCGCTGATCGACAGGCTGTGGCCGCCCGACGGCGGTTAGTTCCAGACCACCCTTGTGATCGCGACCACATTTGAGGCCATCCAGAGCAGCTGGAGTATGACGATATGTGTTGTTATGGCAATAGAGCGCATAAACAAGATGTTTGCAACAAGGCCGCAAGAAAGTGACCGCCACGTGACTTCGCGTGCTTTGGCTGAGTCATCCCACCTTTAGCGCGTCTTGCTTGAGATCTTTGCGGGGTACGTGTATATCGAGTTGAGGATGTGGGAAGAGGCTGAAAACGCGAAAGTACGCTCTAGATAGCACTCAGGTACTTTGCGAAAGTTTATGGGCCGGGAGATTCGCAGTGTGTGGAAGCGCAAGTAAAAGACGTCTTTTATGATGATTCTGGATGGCGCGTTCGCCTCGGCTATGACGTGCCTGTCAGCTCCGGAAGCATCCTTGGGAAGGCGCGGACCGTGCATCGTCGCTAGGACCGCTCGGGATAGTGGCCAGTATCCCTGTCCCAAGGCCAGTAAATAAACATTGCCCATCCAAACGCGCATAGCTCCAAGCTCCCATATAAGTTTACAAGCTCTTGTTGTCGTCAACACCACTCCTCGTGCCATTCGACAACGTCGACCCGTCTATCTCATCGTCGCCAACTTAGATGGAGAGTTTCTTTATATCGGCCACTGTTTTGTAGCGCTCCAACTCCGCTGCCCCTATCGTCCACTTCGCAACCGTCGCTGTCAACACAACATACATTCCGAGACTATTGTCTTTAATCGACAGACCAGAACACAATGGACGCAAAGGTAAGACTGCTCTCTTGTCTACTCTCACTATGGCGGCATGGCGGTGCGTGGACGCGTTGCTCAGCTGGCTACTTCATCTTCCGGTCTTTCCATAATCACCCAGACTGTCTTCCTTTCACAGCCGCTGACAGAATTTTCCACAGCCTCAACGTCCTGCGCGGGCTCTCCGTGTACGCGACGAGAACGCGCTGCCCCAATTACCTGCCGGCAAGACTCTGCATTCGCGCAATAAGTCAACACCAGCACTGTCCACACTGATGCAGGTCGGCGGTATCAAGGCGGCCGCAGCCAAGCGGACCGTGTTTGGAGACGTCAGCAACACACGGCAACCCATAGCAAAGGACGACGTGCAGGTCAATGGGAAGAAGAAGGGTCTTGAGGTGCTTAAGGACAACTCTGCCGTCACGGTCAAGGAGATCATCACAAAGCCTGGCGCGTTGGCACGACCCGCGCAACGCCCTCTGGCAAACGTCACAGCAAAGGCGAACGCGTCAATAGAGGCAAGCGATGTCGCGTCTACTGTGGCCAAGCCTATCACCGTCAACGCCAGCCAGCCGACTGCCGAAGTCCGCAAGGTCATAACCAAGAAATCTTCCACAGCCGTCTTCAAGGAGCCACAATCAGAACCCCTTAGCGACACAGCAACTCTCGTAGATGTACCTGCTCGCCAACTTCTCCCTACCCAGCCATCTTCATTTCCCAACGTGGACCGTGCCTCAGCACAGTCCCAACAACCAGCGACCATCCCTGAAGAGGAAGAGAAAGCCGAGTCAAAGAATGGGGCGGACGACAGGTACGAATACCTAGATGCTCTCGAGGAGCAGGCGCGCGTCCTAGAGCAGGAGCGCAACGAGGAACTCGCCAAGGTCAACGACCTGAACGGTCTCGACCAAGAAGAGTACTGGGACGAGGAGGAAGACGAGGAGTACTACGATGCCGACGGCTACACTACTGCCCGGTCTCTGCGATCGCGCGGCGACAACACAACTGGCGGTGTCACCCTTGTGCTTGCGCCTAGGGTCACTGCAAAGACACAACGCGAGCTTGAGGCTGCCCGGATATTCGTCGAAGCGAACCGGAGCGCCGAAGACGTGGAAGATGAGCAATGGGATACCTCCATGGTTGCTGAATACGGCGACGAGATCTTCGAGTACATGCATGCCCTTGAAGAGCGCATGAAGCCCAACGCTTCTTACATGGACCACCAGGCCGAGATCCAATGGTCGATGCGATCCGTCTTGATGGACTGGCTCGTTCAGGTCCACAACCGCTTCACCCTTCTTCCCGAGACTCTTTTCCTCGCCGTCAACTACGTCGACCGTTTCCTCTCTTGCAAGGTTGTTTCACTTGGCAAACTCCAGCTGGTCGGCGCCACCGCGCTCTTCGTCGCTGCAAAGTACGAGGAGATCAACTGCCCTTCCGTGCAAGAGATCGTATACATGGTCGACGGTGCCTACACTGCCGATGAGGTTCTGAAGGCTGAGCGCTTCATGCTCAGCATGCTTCAGTTCGAGCTGGGTTGGCCCGGCCCAATGAGCTTCCTTCGTCGTATCAGCAAAGCAGACGACTACGATCTGGAGACTCGCACCCTGTCCAAGTACTTCTTGGAGATTACTGTTATGGATGAGCGTTTCGTGGGTTGCGCTCCTAGCTTCCTGTCGGCCGGTGCTCACTGCCTTGCCCGCTTCATGCTGAAGAAGGGTGACTGGGTAAGCTTATATCCATGCACTTTATCAGAACATGCTAACATCGACTAGTCGCAAGCACACGTACATTACTCTGGGTACACACTGACCCAACTGCGACACCTCATCTCCGTCATCCTTGAGTGCTGCGACAACCCACAAAAGCATCACGCGGCTGTGTACGAGAAGTACACCGACAAGCGCTATAAGCGTGCTTCTATATTCGTCGAGGCAGAGGTCTCAAAGGGCTTCTCGCTGCCTTTCGTGTCTAGGGACAGCCTTGCTAGCCAGACTTGGAGGCGAAAGTGAATACACTTGTCTCCACATGGCTCTGGCTTGACTGTATTCTAACGTGGCTTAGGGCTCGTGTGATCGCGCATCTCTCCGAGAGCATCCACCAGCACCCGCCCGTCAAGAGCCAGGCAATACAAGTCAACCGGTCAGCTACAACTCAACATCAGCACCAACATGGTCACCATCGAAAACTTCTCCATTCTTGCTTATTGTTCACGGATACCCGGCGCTTTGGCGGCTTCTTGGAACAGGGTCAACACCAGCAATCTTCCCAGTCTACATTAGTCCAACCTTCGTTCGGACACCCGGTGCATGGAGTTTATGGTTATCCGGCCTGAGTCTTTTCGTTCCCTCCGTCACTGGTTCTTACTCTCTCGTCACCGTCACTCATACCCTGGCAGCTGGCAAACTTCCCTTCGACTGTATTTACTTGCTTTGGAAAGCGCTTCCGGACCGTATCACGACGAAACGAGGTCATGAACACCCACTCCCATTAGTTTAATTCTCCAACTCCCGCGGTATTCGCCTTCTGGTGGCCGTCTTTCCTCCCTTTCTCTTCTTTTGTCACTCCTCTTGGGTCGGGTTTCAGCGATCGGCGATTCTTCGACGCACAGGAGTTACATGGACACCGCACTATGTGCGTATGGGGTTTCTCTAACTGCGTTACGCGTGGCACAATGAAGTTCTTAGTTTGGACTTTTCAGTAGAGTCAAGAAAAGCGCTTAATACTTGCATCTTCAACAATGTTGACCTTGAGTGATCAGTGCGAATACCGTACAGTGAGCGGACTCGGTTGTGCATGTGATTCCGACATATGCTTGAGAATTCGTATGGGGTTCCATTGTACTTGATGATATTCGTTTGGTGGGCATCATCTCATGATCGTTGAGAGAGGTTCAGATGACACGTCCAAGCCTGCGCTGAACGCCCGATACATCCACGTACACATCTTGCTTTCCTCCATCCCAAGTCCGCCCCAGCGAATGCGCCCCACCGCTCAAGCATTCGGGTATCTCAAACGTGACTGCGCCTTTTTCGTCCCGTCGTTGTCCTTTTCACCTCAGCAAGCCAATTGCGCCCTTGCTATGTCGAATTCCGATTCGTGCGAGAAACCGTTAAACGCTGATCATTGCGATGCCTCTGCCGCCGGTGCGATCAATACTACTGAGTCACCTGGCATGCTGTCAGCTTCGCGTCATCTTGCAAGTCCTGTACATCTCTCACCTCTGACGAAGAGCATCTCGCTCTGCTTCTTGACTGTCCGTACGCGAGGCTCCTGGTCCTCGTCTTCCTCCTCCGCAATGTATATGGTCTCTTCGACGTCTCCAAGAACGAGGTTGCAATGCGAGTCGTATGCCTAGAAATGCTCTCAGCTATGCACGCACATATATACAAGCTGCAGCTTCGCGACTCACGTGTAGTCTGCCCTTGAGTTCGCGGTCGCCGCGCAATTTAACAATGACGACCTCGTCAATGCAAAGGCGCACAAGGTCGAGGGGCTCGTTGGTCTCTTCTTTCTCGTCCATGGCGGGCAATATGTCTGTCGTGGATGCGATTCGTCGTGTGTGAGCTACAGGGCGCCTCCGCGGTGAACTTTGGCAAGAGCGATCGTCTTGGCGGAAGCGGGGACTAGCGTGCACGCGAATCTAGTGGTGGGCTGGTAGGCATTGCGTCAGGGCCCAGCCCCAATCCAACATTTCTAGGTACATTCACTCTCAACATCCCAGTTTCCACCGCCGCCCTACTCTCGATCATTTTCTGCTTGCTTCGACTTTACTTGCCAACCAGCATACGCAGCCCGGACACACAAGCAATAGCACGAGTCATGGCTGAGATCCAGGTTCCCGCCCAGAAGGACGAACATCCGCTTCTAGCCTCACGTCCGCCGGTTACCGATCCCATCACCTATCTTACTATTATTGAATACAACTTGTCCGAGGAGACCTTGCCCATTCTACACGAGGTTCTTCAAGATGCAGAGCTTACTGCGACTATCGGCTGGGATCTGATACACCTGCTTCTTCCGCTGCTCCCACTGTCGGAAGATTGTTTGCAAGACATCGCCGCGAAGGGCAACCCCAGAGAGTGTGTTTTGAAAGTGACCGAGGCGCTGCGGCTACTGGAATTCGAAGAACCAAACGATCACACCGACGAAGAAGATAACGATGCAAACGCAAGCGGAAGCAAGAAAGCGGCAGAAGTCGGAATGGGCGAATCGAGCACAAGTCCTGCGTTCCAACCAGCCGTAGTCCCGCCGCTTCCGGTACTAAAGTTTGAGGTACTCTTGACTATACTTGCAACACTACATCGACGGGTCAAGACGAAGTATCCAAGCCGATTCCTGTCTACCAGTCTGCAGGCTGCACTGCTCGCATACAACAGGGCCAACACGCACATTGAAGACCTCACACTATCTGCTGTCAAGTTCGTCAAGACGCTTTCCGGCACTAAGAGGCCGCATTTGCCATCAAGACGAAGCAGCGGAAATCTGCTGCGTGTAAACACCAATCAGTCGGAGCCGGATCCAGAGGCACAGAGCGACGCGCCGAGCAGTGAGGAGAATGATCTCGTCAACCGCCTACTTCAGTCATTCCTCACGCATATCCTCGAGGATTACGTCTTGTCACTGACATCAGACGACGATGTCCCAGGTCTCGCGTGGGCCAGCAGACTGATGGAGCGGTACGAGCCCCAGCGGATACCGAACAAGCCCAACTACAAGAAATACGCGGATAGGTTCGCGGAAGAGGAGGACCTCACCTCCAGAGTTGCAATTCTTGGACAGATTGTTGCCTTGACTCAAGATCTTGGTTTGAAGTACAACGAGTTGCTACGGACCGTGATGGACACGGAAGATGAGAAGCGAGGTATCCCAGGAACAGAAGATGAGCCACCAGCCACGGCTGCCGATATCCCGCTCTCACGAACAGGCGCTCTTCTACTAATTGCCGCGCAAAACGTTAAGCAGGAACTGTATGCTTCAGCGAAGCAGGACGAGTCGTCGTCAATCGCCATATTTCCCGGACATGCCACTATACTCAGCAACTTCATCGGAACTCTTGGGCAACAGACCGTCGGCATGGAGCCCGAAGCACTGCTCGACACAGTCCTCACATTCGGCCTCATAGCACTCGAAAAGAACAACATCGGCGAGCCCAAAGACGACGAGTCATTCGCCCAATACCTCCAAACAATCTCGCTCATCTCCGCAAACTCGCCGTCCCCAAGCTTACGCGGGCATGCGCATTACCTTACCACAACAGTCCTGCGCTCACATCCCCACGATCTCGTCCGTCTAACCTTCATCCGCGACACACTAGAACACTGCCCCTACGAGAACCTCAAAGCAAGCGCGGTATCCTGGCTCAAAGGCGAGACCCTCGAAGCCAACGCTCCGCGCCCCCAATCAGCAGACGATGACCACGAAGAGACGAACATTTTTGCCACGCCAGTTGCGCTGTCCACCGTCGCGCCCTTCTTATGGCCTGATCTCACCAAGCAATATGCCACCGACGCTATCCTAGAAGAGTCATGGATGCAATTCCGTCAAGAACTTAGTTTCTACGTTGCAGCGCTCAACTTTTACTATCTGTTACTCCAGGCTAAGCATCTACACGAGACGCTTGGTGTCAAGGAGCTGAACAGCAATCATAGCATTCAGTCGCAGTATCTAGACGTGCTGAAACAGACAGCGGCGCGATTCCAGAAGGAGCTGTCATCTGGTGGTGGCGCACTCGTCGTTGAAGGTGAAGAGGCGCTGGAACAGGCTAAGGCTGATGTCGGGTTACTGGAGAAAGTCATCGAGTGGGTTGAGGGCGGGCTGAAGAAACTTTAGATAGGCGACCATGTGTGTCATGAATGATGTGCGTCAAGAGATGTATTTACGTGCAACACAACCACATTTGCGAAGAAGACCTCAATATTCACAATGACATTGTATAGCTCGCTCAAGATTTTAGAACATGCCACCGTTCATCCCTCCAAACCCTGCACCACCACCATACGATCCTCCTTGGGGTACCCACCCCCCAAAATTATCCGCCGTCATATCATTCCACAGATACAAATCTCCGTTTTGAAACGCCGCGGAGAAGTCGCCCATATCCGTGGTAAACGCCGTTTGATCGCTGATCGGCTGCGGATCAATGGCCATGTCATTCGCGTTCCATGGTGTGGGTGTGGGATACGCGTTACCCAGCGCGAATGACGATGTGGGGAGAGAAGGAGGTGGGGGTTGGTGTCGTTGCCGCTGTTGTTGGGCCGCAACTTGGCTCGGATCGATAGCAGACGCAGATGCAGACGCAGACGTATTCGCGACCTGCAAGTCCCGATCCGCAAACGCGGGAGTCTGATTCCCAGTTGCTGCTCTCACCTCATCCCCACTCCCCATCTTCTTCCTCCTCTTAAGATGCCTCCCCTCCTTCCTCCAAACCTGATATTCATCCCACCAACTCTTCAACTTCTCGTGCAGCAAGAAATTCCAATGACTCGGCACCCTGACTCTACATTCCTGCGGCCCACCAGCCTCATTCGTTTTGTCGAGCACAGTGTCGAGGTAGTAGCTTACTTTGAGGCTCTGGCTTTCGAGCAGCTCGCCCATTTCGGCGTCGGTGCCTACGGCATATTCGGCTTTCATGAGGGTGACGAGGGAGTAGACGGCGCGGACGTAGAGGGCGTTGGGCGATTTGCGGAGCTTGTCGACGGGGACGGCGATGAAGAAGTCGAGGATCGTGTGGGCGGCGGAGATGCATTTTGTGGTTGCGTTGATTTGAAGGGCGGAGCGTGAAAGGAGGGATTCGGGTTGGACGCAGTCGTCGTCTAGAGCGGGGAGGGTGATGTGGCGATTGCGGAATTCGATGACTGGGAGGTGTTAGCTGGGTCGGATGCGTTTTGATACATGAATACGTACCGTCGTAGCGACCCCCGTCCATACCGAACTCCCACATCGATAACATGTCGGAGTAGTACTCTATCTGCAGATTCAGCGTCATAACATCATCCGGAATCCCTTTCCTCCAGTCTTGCATCCGACGATCGAAGATTCGCAGTATTATCTGCATACGCAGCTCCGAGAGACTGAAGCTCGTACTTGCGTCGTCAAAGCCAAAGGCTGTGTTCGCCTCGTCGGCTATTCTCTGAAGCTTCAACCACGCCACTATCCTCTTGTCATCTAAGAGCTTTGACTTCTCTAGTATGTTGAAGCACTCTTCCATCCAACTGTTGAACAGCAGTATGTTAGGTCGTTTGAGTCGCATCGAGAAGCCTGCGCTGATGATGTAGAGGAGTAGGATAGTGCGGCAGTGCTCGAGGAGCTCCTCTGGCGAAGAAATCTTCTGGAGCGATCGAATCGCACGTTTTGGGAGTTGCTCGTGCGTTCTGGGTTTGGATGTCAAGCCCAACTCCAGAGCCATCGACGCGGCCATGTTGACCCACTGATAGATTTGCAGCTGACCCGGCGTTTTTGATGGTGAATAGTATGTAACTGTGACGATGAGCGCCTGAATAGCTTGAACTGATTTTTCGCCTTTAATGAAGGCGGAACGTGCATAGAGAAGGACGGTTTCTTCATGAAGTCGATCAGACAGAGCAGATCCTTTTGAGTGCGCAGCCGCAGCCATGATCGCATGGAAGAGCGCAGGCTTGTTTGCTCGAAGGTCGAAAACATCCCACTGTTTGGGGATTGTGATGCCTGGACATGCAGCGACGAGCTCGGTGCGCCATATGCTCAAGAGTTCGACTGCTAGATCTTCTGAAATGACACCACGATCTATAATGTCGTTATCAGAAGACCCCAGGAAGTCTGTAGGTGCGCCAGTAGTGGTAGAATCGACTGTGGACACTTTGCTGATGGGTGCTGTGACCATCGATGACGCTGTTGTGACACTTGGGCGACTTGATGCGCTAGGAGGTGTCTCCTTCCTTCTCGCATGTCCTTGATCGTCCGAGTCCTCATCGCCGGATTCCTGTTCGCTAACATCATTCGATGATCTGGCGTTGGTCTTAAGAAGACTACGCATCTGCTGTATCTCTTTCTCCAACTCCGTGACTCGTACGTCTGTCCTCTTTCTCTGTCTTCTCTTGGCTGGCGGCGCGAAAACACATGTTCGGTTCGCCTTGGCGCAACGCTGGCACTGCGTCGAGCTTGTGTCTGGGTTCATAAGGCATCGGACTTTGGAAATGCGGCATGCTTCACAAGCGCGGTTTAGTGGCTGGTCTTGAGACTTCCTGGGCTGTTCCGCGTCTGGGCTATTGACGAGTTGATTGTTCATGGTCCAGAGCGTCTGCGACTTGGTCTCATCTCCAAGGCCCGACATTCTGGTTGACGTCGGCAAAGTTGCCGCTTGTAGTAGGATGATATGTTTGAATGACTGTCGTCTTGAGATGCGCACGCATAACTTCTTTGGTCCAAATTCGACGTTGCTAACTGCGCAATTCCATGTTTGTAATCAATAGAAGATCGACTAGCACATGTGATAGCCGGTAGATCTTTCGAGGGTCCTGGGAGACACGCGGTGGAGAATGGCAGTCGCGGAACCTGTGCGACAACTTCGAATACTCGGTCCGCTGGAGTCAGTAAGGTTGATGTATGACGAACGTGGATGCCTGGGAAGCCGTTGATCAAAGGTGCCCGGCGACAGGGTCTGACACGCATCAATACTAATTAGGCACACATGTGGGCCTAGCGACTATCCTGTGGCTAAACATTGAACCCGCAATGCGCGACACACGATCTCCGCTCTGGCGTCTCGGAGCGATCCCTAGAAACCAATTTACTGCCCGTAACTTTCGTCTGCTGCATGAGAAGACACGCGTTCCGCGGCTGGCTGCCGCGCGAGAGCTTCCAGGCACTCAAGGCATTTGCGACCTGCGATATGAGCTGGAAGTACCTGGGAACACACCGCATACGCGTTCAGGCACCCAATACTTGTCGCATGGATCGGAATATTAGTTAAATCAAACAGCGACATGTGACGACATTGATGAGCATCTGGGCAGTAAGCATACGACGGAAGTATAGCCAACGACCGTTAAATCCGTCAACACGTCAACGGAGCGTTATCTTAAAGACAAAAGAGACCAGACCATTACAACCGGAGTTGAGAGTTCTGTCAAATCCGCGCTGACGTACGCTATAGAGAGTGTCACGCCCCGCGTCACTGGTTAAGGCGCCCAATGCTTTATCCGACGGCAAACCTTCGTCGGCGTAGGGCGCGACTAGCGCATTGGATGTGGAGGAATTCAGATCACAAAATCTACTTTTGAGCTCTCATCACGTTTTGAACAGATACAGTTATTCAGATGATTCATTCAACATAATATTCGCTACAAACATGGCCTTTCTATGCACCGACTTCGACAAGGCGAAGACACCACGCAAGCGCACGCCACCAATACCCGTCTAGCAAAGCCAGAACCAGAACTTCTCAAGAGCGTTACGCGGGATCTGCTCAGGCCAAACCTCCGCATCAAGCGCCGCCTTGCCGCTCCAGATATCCGCCTCAGCTGGGTTGACCATCTTGGTTCGCTTGAAGATCTTCCAGAAGGCATAGAGGAGACCGAAGATGGCAACGCCGATGTACGCAGTGAAGAAGCTGGTCAGCTCATCGGGTCCCCAAGGAGTGGTGGTGAAGACCTTGAAACCGTTGAAGAGAATGATGAGGGCGAAGTACGCAAAGCACGTCCAGGCAACGTAGGGCTGCCATTTGCTCTTGAAGATCATAGTGCTACGGTCGACGTTCTGCGCAATACATGCCGCACGGAACCGGGTGTATGTGTAGGTGATGGTGCACCAAGTGAAAAGCGACGCGATGGTGGTCAGGTTCTGGAACCATCCGAAGACCTTGTTGGCACCAGCGCTGACACTCATGTATGTGAGCAGTGAGATGGAGGCTGTGACTGCAACAGCGTAGACGGGGACACCTTTCTTGTTGCACTTGAGGAGGAACTGGGGAGCCTGGCCGTTTTGTGCGATACTGAAGAGATAGCGCGATCCGGTGTAGAGGAAAGCATTACCGGATGAGGTTGCGGAAGTCAAGATGACAGCGTTGACGATATGAGGGAGGACGGGAATGCCTGCGTTCTTCATGGCGATGACCCAGGGCGATGACTGCGCACCTTTGGCGTTCTCGTCGGTAAGTTGAGGGTCGTTTGAGCTGATAGTGGTACCAATGATGAACGAGCCAAGAACGTAGAAGAAAAGGATACGCCAGAAGACACGGCGAACAGCCTTGGGGACTAGAGACGTACGAGGTTAGTGATTGTTATATGCAGGGTCGCGACAAGACGTTGCTTACTGTTCCTGCGAGGGTCGGCGGCTTCACCAGCAGCGACTGCAACCATCTCAACACCACCGTACGAGAACGCTGCGTTGACAAGCGTAGACCAAAGACCCGTGAAGCGACCTGTATTCCCAGTGCCCACGTATTCCTTCATGGCGCCTTCCTTCCAATAGCGGAACCCTCGTCTGTCATGGTCAGGACCTCCACCGAGCATAATGACCAGACCGGCAAGGAGCAGTCCGATGATTGTTATGATCTTTATGGATGCGAAGATGAACTCGGCTTCTCCGTAAATCGAGACGGCGAAGATGTTCAGAAAGACGATGATGACGATGATGATGGAGATCCATATCGCAGGATTGTACCTAATTGGAGTCAGGAAGTGTCGAACTCGATCTGTCTGTTATACTTACTTCTCTTCCTGATCCCAGAAGTTGATCAAAAGAGCGGCAGCAGAGATCTCGGCGCAAAGAGTGATAGAGCTGTTGTACCAGTTGTTCCAGCCGACGGCAAAACCAAGAGCGGGGTCTGCATAGCGAGCAGCGTACTGCGGGATAGCACCGGGAAGCGGGAGCCATGTCGCCATCTCTCCGAGACACTGCATCATGCCGAAGACGGCGATACCCGTGATGGTATAACCAAGGAGGACAGAGACGGGACCGGCATTGGCGAAAGCACTGGCGATACCGAGGAAGAGACCAGTACCGATGGTACCTCCAAGTGCGATGAACTGGATATGGCGCGACTTGAGACCTCTCTGGACGTAGCCATAGTCCTCGGCTTTCTGAGCGGAACCGTAGACACCAGCAGCCTCATTGAGGGCGTGGCCCTTGATGTCGGTGACATCGCCAACAGCATGGTCAGAAGGGCTCTCGCCAGCGACAGCATACTGCTGCTTCTCGTAATCGTTGACCGACATATCGGGCGACAGGGAGATAAGAACACCAAGAGGTGTACTCAGCAAAGAGGAAGACTGAACCTGAGTCTACCAGGGATAACGAACCCAGGAGAGCACAAGAAGGGTAGAGGCGCGAGAGATGATAGCCTTGCAAGTCGGGTGAATGGGGGTACGAGAACAGGCTTTATACCTGCGCGTCTACGACGACCTCTTCTCGACATTGCAGCAATACCCTCGTCCCAGCACCCGGGAACCGCACACAAAAACAGAGCATGGGCTGGACCCCCAGCGGCGACTGTCATTCTGCAGACTAGTCGCGGCGCAGCTCCGTTGTGGTCTGGAAATCTTACTGGTCAATGGTGTGGTTGGGAGCAAATGATACGATCAAGATACTGACGGTGTCGCCGTCCGAATGGGCTATGCCGCCTTGAATCGCCTTAACCTCGCCCGGGGGCTGATAAGGATGGGATCGCTGTACTGGGGTAAACGTTGGGGTGACAAGCTTCGATACAAGCCTTGTCTACTCAAAGAGGGGTACAGCTTATGCACGGCATGCCTGCTTGCGAATTATCGTACAACAACCAGCCTTTTCTCAGCGCTGCTCACACGTCGCAGATACCGTTGGTACAGGGTGTCGTCAAAGCAAACCTCTTGATACACCGAGGGGTCTTCGAACAGCACGCGACCGCAGGATGGGGCGTCGGGCGTTCCAACTCGCTTAAGGTGCGATTTGGCATTGAGACAAGCCTCAATGGCGCTGAAGCAAGCAGCTATCGGGCGTCCTAGCACGCGCTAAGCATTCTCGGCAGGTGGATCCAAGCTACAACCCATCAGAACAGTTTCCACTATCGTGGGCTTACTAGGGACGATGCATCGGGTGTCGTGCGAATTGGACACCTTTCTAGAACATACTTTAGCGCGCGGGCATACCGCGGTGGTATCGCTGTCACTACGCGTTCGCGCAGTCCGTCTCGTCTCTAGTGGGATGAGAAGTGCGAGATGGCTCTGGACCACGACTTGCGCGATGCGCTTCAACGAATGGCGCGCACAAGACGTGCGTTCTGTGCAAGAACGCCCCCGCCCCTCCCGCACTGATGTGGTCACTGCACAGACAATTTGCGCAATCTACTCTGCCAGGTGTGTCGCCGGACTGCGTACAAGGGTTTGATTGGAGTCGTCAGCCTGCAGATAGATGTGGCAATCCGTATACTGGTTCCGACTGATGGCACAAGACTCTCAGTCCTCCAATGACATGGACCGATTTGGAGTTACGAAGACCGGAGTGCTCTGAGCTGACCCGAGCGTCATCCTGGACAGCCTTTTGGGCAGGTGGGTGTACTTGAGGCGTGATACTTGCACATGTGACCCATATCGAGCGTAAGACTTGTGTACTCATAAGGCTTTGTGCACTGATAAGGCTAGGGGCGGATCACAACATCCAATGGAAAGGTTTTCTAGAATGTTTCAGGCGCGTAGACGCGGTCAGCATGCGACCAGTTGAAGCCACCGGTACCTGGCTCATGCTTGCAGTCTTGGCTATATTATTTGAGAAGCCGCGGCACTCGTCACACTTCATTCAAGGAAGAACTAAACACCCTAGAGCCTACGTTAATATTAGGTCGCCTACTTTGCATGTTTTCATCTAGACCTCGGGATGTAGGCTGCAGATCTGTTTAGTTTTCTCCTTGTATGAGGTGGTCGCACTAAGAGCTGCGCGGTGGAATTTGTCGAGGGTTGAAGGTAGCTTTCTCGCTTCGGTACGGTGTATCAAAAGCGCAAGTCTGCAATTCGTTGCCCATTTGAAGGGTTCAGATGACTGTTACAAGTATCAGATCGTGATGGTACAATTCCATGATATTTATACACACAATATCAAAAGCCGTCGGCAAGGTCTCCATCCATCCCCCTGACTATATCCTTGTGTCGGGTACACAGTCGCAGACATTCCCAATGGCCCGTCCACACGCATAGCAGATGAAGGTATGTCGTTCTCGGAGTAGTTCGTTGTTTTTTTTCGATCTGTCGGATAGATGTGGCATTGTAGTCGGTAGTCTTCGAGATGCCTTTGTGTACAGCTGATATCCGCCGTCATGTCGCAGCCAGCCACCACCCAAGCGCGTTAGCCAGGTCCGATCTTGGGCATGTCGTGGTGCTCGCTCAGTCCGCTCAAGTACTTGTTGAGTTCCTCCACCTTCTCCTTATGTGTCTTGACTCCCTCCTTCTTCAACCTCTCCTCCAACCTCTTCCTTCGCATCTCGTCATACCGTCTTTCCGCTTCTGTCTTCTGCCTGCCGCCGCCCTCTCGTATCGATCGCTCTGCAGTCTCGGGTGACATAGAGCGGCCTGGTGTGCCCGAAGGTGACTTGCGCGCGTCATCGTCGGTAGGCGACCGTTTCGCGACGCCGGTGGACGTGTCTTCGGAGGGTTTTGTGGATTCGGTAGTCTTTGGCTTCTTCTTTTTCTTCTTTTTGTCCACGCCGGCGCCACCTTTGAGTTTCAGCGCACCGCCTGTGGCCGCTGTGTAGTCTGAGGAGGGCATGGTGGTGACGCGCCGGTGTATGGATGGCGGGCAGCTTTGGATGGCTGAGCGCGAGATCGATTAACGGGTCCGCACGTGATACCGTAAAAGTGGGGCAAGTGCATCGTCAACATCGACAAACTTCCTTCCACGTCAACCTAGGAAAGAAGTGAACACCATGGAGCCTACATCGACGTCAGGTCACCAGACTTGCATGTTTTCATCTTGATGTAGTCTCCAGAACTGCTTCCCTCCCTCCAAACATCTTGACACGCCATGGAAGATACCGCAGCCCAGCCCCAGCCCTTTAGTGAGGCTTCCTTGCGATTTGCGCTTGCGTATCTACGATGAACTTATACCCATCATCCCTTTGAAATCCGTTATTTCACCAAACCAGTTTACCGGTCTTCTCTACAGCTGCAAGACCATACAACATGAGATCGAAACAGAAATTTGCAAACGTATGGCTACTGCTACTGCTGAAATAGCCGATCTCGTACACGAAAGCACTGGACGAGAGATGGTGTACACACCACCTGACTGTTTCTGCGGCTGGCGCAATCTGGCCATATGCACACTTACGCATACAGATTTGTTCAATTCCGAAGGCCCATTCCTCGTATTCAGAGAATTCTGGTTCGATACTCTCACTATCCATTTGCATAACAACTTCGGTGCATTTCAAACTTCTCGCCTACATCCATACACGCTCGCGACGAAGAGCCTGGCATATCGGATGGCCAGATATGCCAAGTCGACTGGCTCGATACCAAGACTTAAAAGATGGGTACTCGTCTTCAGTGAAGCAATAGCAACTTCGTAGTGCCCAAGGATGGACGTGTGAGCCGGAGCAGGTATCGTTTCGACGGAAGCCTTCGCTGTGTATGGCAATACACCTCCAGTATACGCGGGTCAGGCGTGATCTTGTGTAAGATCCCGTCATCGACCCCACCAAACATGGATCCCACAGAAGAGGGAAGAGAGGAGATGTTTCGGGATGGAAATGGAAGAGGGGCGATGGAAATGGGATGCGGGATGGAATGAGAGTACTGTAGACATGACATTGACCGTATGAAAAGAGAACGTGCTGAAACGGCGAGCGGGCGTCGGATAGTACAGTCTGTTGATCATGCATCGTCGGAGAAAGAACGCGAGGCTCTATGGTCGGCAATGATACAAAGCAAGCATGACGAATTATATCTCAATTCAAAGAGCGAATCTTCAAAAATCGCCTCCACGTCCATGTTCCACCAAGTCGCGTCCTCGAACTCGTTGTATCTACTTCAACGCGTTTAGTGCAATTACAGTTCCGATATGCGGTAATATACGATTATACCAATCCCTCTACTGTGCCCGTCTTATCTCTTTCTACCCTATCTTGACAACTCTCCCGTATCATACCCATACCCATACCTCAAAAATCGCACGACTGCGCCAACAACTCTGCCAACTCCTCCAAAGCCGCCTGATCCTCCGCATTAAACCCACCCAGTTCCGCACAATCTATATCAATAATCGCCACAACCTAAACGCACGTCAACATTCCCGCCTTTCCATACAAAGAAAGCTGAAAACATACCTTCCCACCCTGAACAACCGGAACAACAATCTCACTCCTACTCCTCCCATCACACGCAATATGTCCCGGGAACTTTTCCACATCCTGCACCAACTGCGTCTTTGCTTCTTTCGCCGCAGTCCCGCATACACCGCGCCCGAAGTTGATAGTTTGGCATGCTACTTGGCCCTGGAAAGGGCCGAGCAGGAGTTGAGAGGAGTTTGTTGGTGAAGTGAAGTAGAAACCTGCCCAGTTGACGGAGGAGGAGGGCGAGGGGAGCGAGTGGTAGGCGTGCCAGAGGAGGGATGCTGTGTTGGAGAAGTTGCTGTTTGGTGAAAGTCACTGTTAGGAATAGAAATTTGTTGTGGGATTGGGGAGAGTGGGAGCGTACCAGACCTGTACAATGTTAGCAATCATGTCCATCCTTCTCATTCTTGAGAATTTAATATACTTACCCAATTTCTTTGCCCATCAAACAGTGACCTCGCTTGTTCAAGCACTTGTTCATAGACCTCCTTCTTACTCATTCCATCGGCAAAATCTGACGCGTCGGCGTGCACCTAACACCAGCCCTGTCAGCCACGTATTCGAGGCTCATCGTAGTCCACACTACGCGAAAACGCTTGGCTGCATACCATGGTTGTTGAGCTTTTGATATTTCTTGGAGTCGGAATTTCTTCCTGGCTGCTTATTCCAAAGTTGTTTTTGTGCACAGAACGGAAATGCAGTCGCCGAAACTTGCCGGGCAGCAGCAATAGTTAACCCACGACGAAGATTACTACTGGGTTGATAATCTACGGTGATGTCTATTTGTACTTGGGATACTGTCAAATGTGTGGGTAAGGGAAATGTCATTACATGATTGTTTACTGTTCTGGCTGCAAGAGGCTTAGGTTGACCGAAAATTGCGATCGCGTCATCGCCGTCTAATCTTATCTAGGCGTACGTGCAAGTCAACACCAAACTCCTTGTCCAATCTGTACTTTGTCGAGAACATGATAGATATCCGTTCAATGGCCTCAGTAAACAAGACATTCTACGGCTTTCGCTTCGAGAGTCTCAATTGGGAAATGCGCATCTCGGCTCTGCTATACAGTTCTCGGCCAAACCATCCCCACACCTACATACCTCCCTCCACATCGTCCAGCAAAAACTTCACCGCTATGATATATTTTATGCTCAGACATCTTTTCCCACTGATGTTCACAATGAAATTATAGTTTCAAAAACAGAAAAGCTCGTGTCGCTACTCAACAGCTACATACACGTCTTCAACCACAAGAACTCTTCATGGCAACCGGTCGGTTGGCGCAATGGTAGCGCGTGGCCCTCCTATTCCCTTGAATAATCAAAGGCCAAGGTTGCGGGTTCGAGTCCCGTGCTGATCGTACAATGGTTGTATGAGCCCACATAGTGGTTGTGAGAGGTGATACACTCAGGTCTTTTTTGGGTCGATGGTGAGATGCAACTTTTTTTTGTTGGAGGCCCATCACCTATCAGGCACCACCAACTTCACGACGGACTCACTAGACATAGCAAAGCTAACGTCTACGACACTTGGATGTATTACCTTGATTAATACTGCAATAAGACATCTTCATGGTTGGATAGATACTTATATGCAGTACAATCTTTTGTCAACCAAATTTGAGACTAGATCTTTGCTGAACATTGCAAAGCAACAGTCACAGTCATAATTGATCACGCAAAGTCAGGTTTGATTGAGAAGAACATGCCATTGTTTTTGGACAATTAGAAGTAGTCATCAACTCATACACGTCATGAACATATCCGCAGCCAGATTACCGCGAAAAGGGACAAGACTAAAGTAAAGATGCAGCAACAAGTGACTGGGTAATGAGACAGTAGAAAGAGACATTAGCACACCGCCATGCGCCCCCCAAGTAAACTCCTAGAATGATGACCCAATTCCGTTATGCACTCTTTAAGTGATCCAAAAACGCCCGCCCGCAGACGACATGTGTGTAGCGCCGAGCCCGATGGCATGCTGCTGTTCGACGAAGAATTGACTGAGACAAGAAACGAAGTGACGATGAAGGTCGTGTCCCAAGACGCCGTGCTAGAACTCCCGTAATGAAGATGCGGGATTAGAAACGCAAAATCCAGTGACGATGCTCATGACTTTGGGCGGGAGATGGCATTGCCCATGCTTCCAACACGACCGCTGGTTTTCCGTACAGCAGACTTGCCGTCGGTGCTTCGGCGTGAGGGACTCGATCGGATCTTGCCCATGTTGATGCTGCCACTGCCGCTCTTCTCCTTTGGTGTCTTTGGCCGTATGCCAGCTGGCGCAGCGTTCTCGAGATCACTCTCCTCACCGAAGCCGAAAGAGGTGTGGGTTACTGACGTTTGAACGACGGACGTGGTGCTGAATGCGCGACGCTGCTTGTCCTTGAGGGTTGGCGAGCGCTGAGGAGAGCGCGATGATGTGCGTCGCGCGATCTGGCGGAGGTGGAACTCCTCGTCCGACTCGCCGTCGAAACGTGTGATGTCTGCCCTGACCTCTGTGTGCGACCTGGTGAAGGGCTCGTTCTCGTCGATGCGTTGTGGTGACCGCGAGCCGTTGCCGTAGAGCTTGCTAGTCTTTCGCGGTTGTCCAGGTGTAGGCGCAGGCAGGTTGTCCTCTAACACGCCAATGTGGCCCGAGTTGCTTCGCTCGTTCGACTCAATCTCGCCGAGCGCGGCGCGCTTGGACGATCCGTTGGGCGGTGTGAAGGTTTGCCCGTTGCTAGCGAGGCGCTGCTTGTGCGGTGACTTTGTAGGCGTTGATGGCACGGTCTGCGCGTACTTTGCCTTGAACTGGTCCTCGTACCACCATTCCCGGAAAGTACCCTGGTTTAGGTGCAGCCAGTGCTGTTGGGGACCGACTACCATGCCCGGGCGCATGAAGCGCATGTATGCGATAATCTCGTTGGCGGTGAAGCCGTGCTTGTAGATCAGGTATGCGCCGATCAAGCAGCCAGTTCGTCCCAGTCCAGCTTTGCAGTGGACTGCGATACCGCGCTTCTGTACTGTGATCATCTCGTGTGCGAGGTTGACAAACTTGCGTACGAGGGACAGCGGTGGACATGTTCCGTCGTCGAAGATCATGTTCAGATGCTGGATGCCGAGCTTGGTGAAGTATGAAGAGGAGTACAGTTCCGAGTTGAGTCGTACGACGAGTCCAACGTTGCGCGCGCAAAAGTGCGAGAGGACGTTCTTGAAGGGACCAGGAAGTCCAGATCGCTGGATCTCGGCGATGTTAGAGGGAAGTGTTGCGTACATCGGTGATGAGGTTGGGATCTCGTGTGTGGGTTGTTGCTGGGGAGAGGCAAAGGCGAGGAAGTTGGGGGTGACCCAGTTGAAGTCGCCCATGTCTACGCGCTCAAACTTCTCGTACCTAGAACTGTCAGTACTCATCAATAGACGTGATTCGGTAAACATACTCCTCGAGGCTGAAGTCCTTGAGACCGCAGAGGCCCTCTTCCTTGGCCTTCCATACACCGTAGATGACGTCCTGGATGTTCAGAACATAGTCGGCCTGGCTGTAGCCGGCGTCGCGGAAGGGCATGCATGGCGGGTCCATCTGGGCAATGGGCGCCAGAGCAAGGTGAGGTGGCCATGACTGGATGAGCACCATGTAGCATGCGAGAATGCAGGCAGCGTTTGCGCGACCTAGGCATGTTAATTTGTGTAATTGATTGAGGAATGTGGAGGAGCTCACTCCTCGAGTCGGCGCTGCTCCAGAAGACGACGGCGCGGTCCTCGTTGGTTGGGTCGCCGAGAACCTCGTGCAGCTGTACCGCGAACCGGTAGAGGTGGCCAATGTGCAGTGGGCCAAAGTCGCCGTGAAAGGCGTTGTATAGGAGCGTCTTGTCGATACTAAAGTAGACCGGAGGGTGCGCCTTGGGGCCTGCGGCAGTAGGACCTACTTGCGCGCGCGACGATCGCTTGGAGGGCGATTGGCTCTGCTTGGGGTACGGGAACGGAGTGTTCGCATCGGGCGGACTTGTGTAGGATGCCAGGTAGAGTCTGTCTTGGATGTACTAGGAGACGGATCAGAACGGGTCCCGCAGTCGCTTTGTTTTGGTGTGTGTTGTGGTGCTCACCTCGATCACCTGACCATAACTGGTGGTGGATGCGCGCGACATCTTGGCCACTCGATCGCGTGGTGAAGCCATTGCGGAGAAGAAGGTGCGATCCGCAGGTGTTGACTACAGCTGGGGAAGGACGAGATGCCGACTTGGGACGAAAGCAGCGATGTCGGCAGCGCAGCGCAAGGGAAGATGCGTCGTCGGTATGGCTGTTGGCGGAAGTGCCGTCTGCGTCTGCGTGTCCTGCTGCGGTCGGAGTAAGGAATAACTGTAAAGATGTGTGACGGCGGATGGTTGGAGGTTTAAGCACATCCTCCATGTTGTTGTTGTTTACAGACGCACGGACTCGCCCGCTAGTTCCACTTTCGCGGTTTCGGGATGCCCGCAACGCCATCATAACAACTCTAGACGTCTTGGCCCAAGCACCATAACAACACAACAACTGGTGAGGCCCTCCCTGCTGTTTGCATTACGCACTGCCTATAAGTGTCCTGAGACATATCTCTTCGTTTGCCAGCATCTCTTGTCCCGCCGGCTACGACTCTGTTTGATCCCGTCTCTTAGGGAACCAGCAGCTCGAGACTTTGGACCTGCAGCTGTCGTCGTGTCTGCATGACCTCACAGGGTCCAGTGTACGGACTCCTAAAGGCAGCCTGCATCTCGATTGCTGCAGTAATCGCGGACATTTTGCACGACCCGCACTAGAGCCGGTCGGCATCGCGATCGTCCTCACCGCATGCAGCCATCGAACCGTTATTGTTTCTTCCGTGCTACCTTGACTGTCAACAGCCAGCTGTCATTGTACAGACTCCACAGCGTTGTCGCTGTTTGAGGCGGTATCCTTGGCGACCCACAAAACCTGTGTGTCGCAGAGTAGCAGTGGGCCGCGCCCGTGCGCTGTAAAGCCTCATCTACCATATCAAGATTACGATGATCCGAAGAGGCAGGACCCAGGGGTGGCTCAAAGAGTCCATTGATGTTTTACCTACTTGGGCAACATTCAATGGGGTCAAGTTCAACGGTGTCAAAGTAGGCCCACTGCCAGGCTATGAGGACAGAGGGTCTACAGTCATTGCCGCCGAGAAGCTCCAAGGGGGTGAGGCTGAGCCTTTACTTGTCGTGCCCAAGGAGTTGATCATCTCTCGTCAGAATATTGAGCTCCTCGCAAAGTCAGATCATCATCTGCGCGAACTTCTCGAAGGTCTTGGAGATTTTGGAAGGGTGTGGCAATTCCAGAAGAAATGCAAATGTGCCCGGGACTAACATGAAACAGACAACAAGAGGTGCTGTTCTTACTTTTCTACTTCTCCAAGCAACCATCTGCTGTCCCGATACAAAGGATGTTGGCTTGCTCAATCCTCTTACGGAATACGTCAAGTTCCTTCCAGATGAGCTGCTTCCCACATTCTGGACCGAAGAAGAACAGGAGCTTCTCGTTGGAACCACGCTCAAACCTGCAGTCAGCGCAAAGCTCAACAGCTTGTTGCGCGAGTTCGAAAACTTGCGGACTGCTACAGAGTCCATCAGCTGGTGCAAGAAGTACTGGTGGGATGAAGAAAGTGGCATGCTAGTTTTCGACGACTGGATGTGCGTCGATGCCATGTACAGATCTAGAGCTCTGGAGTTCCCAGGAACTGGCGACTGTATGGTCCCCTGCGTCGACATGGCAAACCACGCGTCAGGTGATGCGACGGCCGCATTGTACGAGACTGATGGTAACGGAAATGGCCTGTTACTACTTCGAGAAGGCAAACAAGTCGGACGTGGTGATGAGGTAACAATCACGTAGGTCATCCCGACGAATCTAAGGATGCTCGCTCACAAAGGTAGATACGGCGACGACAAAGGCGCATGCGAAAACATCTTTTCGTACGGATTTCTCGAAGATGCCATAACCTCAGCCAAAGTGGTGTTTCTAGACCTTGACATCCCAGACGACGACCCACTCAGACCAGCAAAGATATATGTTTCCAAGGTCGCACCCGGCTTCCGCATCTTTGAGAAAGATGATACCATCGATTGGGAAAGTGACTTCATATGGCTTGTTGTAGTCAACGAAGAAGATGGTCTAGACTTCAAGGTCAGACAAACTACCGATGGCAAAAGGGAAATCCAATCTTTTTGGAAAGAACAGGAACTCGATACTGTGAAACTACGAGACCATCTTGAACAAGACCCATTGTGGGATGTCTTCCGGCTACGTGCCACGGTACTCCTACAGAACCGCGTTGATGCGCAGATCGAAACGCTCATGGAAACGGAGGGTGCCAAAAGGACGGGTACGATGCGGGACACGCCGTCGAGACTTGCGGAGCGACTCCGAAGTTTGGAGCTAGACTTGCTCAAGCGTGCAGCATCGACACTTGACACCCAGGTAAGACCAATGTCTTTTCATACCCCGCACTGCGAGCTCCATCATAGTATGTTTCGGACGCAATACCGTCACAGGTCATATGTCCTAGCGTGCACTTGGACATGCGTTTGCCTAGTGTGACGGCGCACCAAAGATTGGCAGCGTGCGCTTAGTGGGGTAGACTGCCAAATTACTAGACTACTGTTCCTACATCTTGTCGCTGGAAGAACACTGACAAAGAAATAGAAAGCCAAACTCTTGGACACAGAGGCCGTCATACACTACCTGGGTCTGGATGAGGGAGCAGAGGAGGAAGAAGAAGACTTCTCTTGAACACAGCATCAGAGCACCCAGGAAGGTCCCCACGTTAGATAGGATGAGGTCGTCTCACGTCACGAAATTCATCCAGTCTAAAAAATATCCCCACGCCTCTTGCGATTGATCTTTGCCGTCCATCCCTCTCTCGAAATTCCTTTCTGCATCAACGCGGTCCGTCAAGGTGATGTCCTGCGATTCGTGCAGTAGAAGACTTCTTCACGGCAATCCAGTTTCATTCTCGACGGCTGGAGTTCATGATGTGGAGTGCGTGGCTGGTTCGAGACGTCATTGATGGCCTGATCTGACTTGCTGTCGGGAACGGGATTGTCTGAGGGCCGTCCGTCATCTTTTTGTAGGAACCATTTGCAGATCATGCTGAAGAATTTGAGTATAAGGGGTGTGGAGGGTGAGGATGGGAGTGAGATTCGAGTAGCATGGGCTCACCCCAGCTTCTGCGTGATAAGAAACTCATAGTTCGGAGAATGTTGTAGTTCATATGGCTGGCATGACCCTAGGCTTACGCTTGGTTTGTGTAGCTCTCGCGGTGGTCTTACGGTCAGGCTATATGGTGCTTTGATTGCAATGAGTGTTGCATTCCTATGCCATGGTACTACTTGTACCCCTTCACCAACAACAACTCTTGCCATGCTACATACGAACAATGTGGCACGGACGGCTTATGTGGCCGCCCTGCCGAACAGCCACTGTCTAATAATTGAGACATCCGACAATTGCTTTTTCAGCCTTACACGCAGGGTCCGGCTAAATAGCCATCATAGACACGCGAGAAGACTACTGCTCCCGTCTAGGAGAATTGATTTGCAGGTCGCAATGTGGCTTAGTCGAGATAAGCGGCGTGCCGCGCCGCCCACTCAGTGCCCTCTCATCATCCGTCCCTAGTCAATAGAACCGCCTTTTAAGCCTGTAATGACAGAGTATACAGGTTGCGTGTTCCGTGTCGACAGGGACAGTGATCCTTTTGTCTTCTAGAATGTGACACATAGAGTGCGCTGATGAGTTGGAGTCACACGCGCAGCCAATATTGCGGCTATTAGCGAATGACTGTCTGCTAGCTGCCCTTGTAGACGATGGCCATCCGGTTAAGAAGGGCGCGATATTTTGGTCGCTGCACAGGGTTAGAGTATTGCAATTGAGGGAGTGATGGGTGGCTCAATCACAGCAATCGGGCCGACGTCCTCGCATGATCTGAGCGTGGGTGTTCACCGTCGTCGAAGCCACCACCCCGCAGAAAGCTCTAGTCACCGTTGTGAGAGGCCGCTGAGGAGTGCCGAGAAAGGCCGTCGTAAATCTGACAAGCAGACTAGGCCCGCATGCTGATCGCAGCGAAGCAAGCTTTAAGGTTTAGTGAACAATGGTGGACGAGAAAGTATCGGCGAAAGATGGGCTGCTCGTGCTATCCCTTGTGGGATGGCGCCTGTCGCCCCGCAGCCGCCCACAAATTCCCCAGAGAAAGACTAAGCCAGGGTGGCAGGTGGCAGCTTACATCTGCCAGGCCGTCCCCGATTCTTCCGTCAACTCTTCTCGCTCGTCTGTCTTACGCGTCCGCCCTGACTGGTTTTGCTTTGCTATTGTGCATTAAAGTCGTGAAACGCCCTGGCGACCGAATTTCCAAACGTCACCAACGATACACCAACGATACTCGAAAACCGGAGCACCGGATGACAGAACGTGACACGACCTATCAGTGATCGCCCATTGGGCCTTGGACGGATACCACCTGACACCACCGACGACGCGTAACGAACGACGCCAAAATGCCCGGAATACTACCCATGAAAGTGATCAAGGTCGGCTCCAGCTGCCAGAGCCGCATCGCCCAAGCCTGCGACCGATGTCGCTCCAAGAAGATACGATGCGACGGCATCCGCCCCAGCTGCACGCAATGCACCAATGTCGGATTCGAGTGCAAGACGAGCGACAAGCTTAGTCGGCGCGCATTCCCCAGAGGATACACGGAATCGCTGGAAGAACGCGTACGCATACTGGAGGCAGAGGTTCGCGACTTGAAGGATCTCCTTGACGAGAAGGACGAGAAGATTGACATGCTATCACGCATGCACGCGCGCTCCCCAGCAGCATTTTCGACCGCTAGACGCCCATCTGTACACTCCCCGGGTACTTCTGATGTGCGAGAAGAATCGCAAGAGAAAGAAGAGACGTTCAAGGTGCAGCAGGCACCGCTCCTGCTCGACGATCTAAACAAAGATTCGTACTTCGTGGGCAGCTCGAGTGGACGAACACTTGTTGGTAAGATTCACGTTCTGTCAAAACGACGTGCAGCGCGTCTAACACTTCACAGAGGCGTTCAAGCAGAAAGCACAAGAGACGGGCAGACTGTCCACCGACATTAGCTCGAGCGCCTTCTTCGGCGCTGGAGCAAGACCGACTGCTACTCACCCCAAGCGCATCGTTTCATTCAAAGCCCCTCCACGTCTGGTCTCAGATCAAATGATCAACATCTTCTTTCAAGAATGGGCTCCTCTGTTCCCGATCCTCCATCGCCCGACCTTCTTGTCACTTTACGAGCAGTATGTGGCTAGCCCGGACACCATGAGCGACAAGAAGTCGATTGCACAACTTAACTTGGTCTTTGGCATTGCCGCGCTGTCAAGCGATGTATGTGCACCTCAAAATTCTTGTCTAGGAGAATACTAACTTCTCCAGCCTCGCGACGGTCAAGATGTAGAGTCGTTCGAGGCTCAGTGGCAGAGTGCCGTCGAGAGCTTCTTGATGGACAATGACGTCGCAACGCTGCAGTGCCTTGTCCTTGCCCAGATCTTCTGCCTGCTGAGAGCTGATTACTCGCGGGTGCTCAAGTACAAGGGCTTGGCCGTCGGCCTGTCGCAACGTCTTGGCTTACATCAATCCCAGAAGCGCTTCGCACTCGATGCACTGACGAGCGAAACGCGCAAGAAGCTGTTCTGGTCGCTGTACACAGTCGACTGGTAAGTGTCCTTCGGCCGAACCCTGCCGTTGCATTTACTGACCGCTCCTAGTCTCTCCGCTGCACACCTCGGACTACCGAAGCTGATCCGAGAGGAAGATGTGCACTGCGAGTATCCGGTAGATGCCGATGACGAATACGTCACCGAGAAGGGGTTCCTGCCGACCCTGCCCGGCGAGTACACCAAACTTTCCAGCGCACTGGCTCTGTTCCGCCTGTCGCGCATCCTGTCCAAGGTGCTGACGGAGCTCTACCCCGGATCGGCATCACATGACATTTCGTTCCGCACTATTGCGTCGCTCTCCGACGAGCTGGAAGATTGGCAGGCCAACCTTGCGCCTCACCTCAAGCTGACGTTTGCGCAAGACAAGCCAAGCACCAACGTCACCAGCAGCAGATCACCTGTTTTGGTATGTGACTCCAGATTTCAGACCCATTTGCCGAATGCTGACAAGCCTAGTCTCTCGCCTACCACCACATTAGGGCTTTGGTATACCGCCCAGCCGTTGTTGCTAATCTTGGCGACAAGGGCTCTTCAGCCGTGGTAGCCGTTGGCGATGCCTGCAAGCACATCGTGCAGATTGTTGAACTGCTCGACGAGCGCAAGCTTAGCTTCTCGTTCTGTCTCAACCGGAATGAGGTGCTCGTCCAAGCCGGCTTCGGCCTGCTCTTCCAGACCTTGACACTGGCTCGCGAGGGCAAGTTGATCAAGGACAGCAACCGCCTAGTGTGTTCTGTCATGGACATGCTCGAGCGTGGAAATGCTGCTGGCTATGCCGAATTCCGTCGCGTGGGCTGTGGTATCGTGGCTGTTCCTCAGGTAGAGCAAATGCCAGCCCCACCTCTTTCACGACACAACTCAGAGAGCCATATGGGAGCGCCTCTGGATACCTTCCGCGCTACCCAAAAGTCGCTCAAGGCTCTTGCAGCGCGCTTCTCCCCAAGCATGATGAAGAATGCCCGACAAGACCAAGAGCCTCGTCGCGCGACTTTGCCTGCTCTCTCGCCCAACGTGGGTGTGCATGCCAACGCTTCGTTGACAAGCTTGTCGTCCATCCGATCAGAGCCTCCTGTTGCTCGTTCAGAACCAACTTTGAGTCCGCTGTCACATCGCGCGTCCTTTTCGATGCCGAACAAGCGTCGTCCAAGTCAGCCAACTCCTCAGCACCAGCAACAACAACAACAACAGCAGCAGCAGCAGCAGCAGCAGCAGCAACGCAACATCGACTACCTCTCCTTCGCCAACGACCCACTCGCCAGCTACGCCCTCCAAAACAACCAAGGCATCAAAACCGAAGTCTCAACATCCGACTGGGAGCGTCTCCTCTCTTCACTAGACAACGGCCAAACAAACATCTACGACACAATCTATGGCGGGCCCCCAGTAGACGCCCTCGTCGACGTAGCCCCGCAATCAGCCAATACCGAAAACAGCAACGTCACATGGTCACCAAATGTCTGGAACTGGAGCGCCTATAGTTCTGAAGCCCCACCGCCTCAAAGCGTCCTCAGCTTTAGTGATGAGAGCTTGACTAGTGGCGAGGAATTCAGCACTGGTGCTTGTGACTATGGATCTACGCCTGGCAGCGATAGGTTGTACCCTGGGATCATGATTCCAGGGGACTACGACAGTACGGCGAATTTGACGGGGTTGGATGCTGCTTATTGCGGATTATAAATGTTGCAGTAGGCTCGATGATATCATGATGATTATGACGGGTTGTACAAACGGAGAATCGGTGTCTGGCGCATAGGGTTGAGGGTTCTTCACCTATTGACGATATGGGTCTGGTTGAGCTTTTGCTGCTTTTGAGATACCACGCTTCTGGCCTGAGCGACAGAGAACAGGAATGGGGATGGGATAGTATAGGAACAGGATGGGGAGACGAGCTACCTTCTTTTTTTCCCGCAAAATCTTCCGTATATAGTCTTGATTAATTTAATCCAACATTGTCTACCATTCTGCACCTCAGGATTTACTTGCCATGTTGCGTTCTTCCTCGCGATGAAGCCCCGAGTCTCATCACCATCTCCCAAACCTCCGATTATCGGCAAATGCCGTCCTAACCAACCGGATGAAAGGAAGTTATACCTCTCCCCCTCTCCAGCCACACCCCGTCACACCACACCCTTACCTACACCCCGCACCCCAGCTAGCTTACTTTGCGACCCACATGGTTCGCACGTGGAGAAATATGCGGGGTGTCAGCCTCAGCCCATTCCAGCGTCAGCTTTCCACTTTGCTCTTGCTTGGGAGTGGGGACGCGATGCAAGGGTTTCTCAATCGCAGGCATACCGCGTAATCGGTGGGTTGAGAAGAAACGCCCATTAACGCCATGGCATGGGGAGAGGTAGGGATCTGGAAGGAAAGCGGAGATGGGGTAAGTTGGTGTGGCGTAGCACTAGGGAATGTATTGGTTGAGTGTATATACATGATGTGATGAAGTGCTGCTGCATATACTCAGCTGAGACTATCCTTCATCTAGAGAAGAATTTCAAGCAAGATATCACGATGCACAGCGTCATGATCGTCGCAGGCACCTCACTCCAGCTTAGTTTGGCATTTCCGATCGGAGGTCACACACGGGGCTTACACGTCATACATCGCGATCCATATCCCATGATAGACATGTTGGTATTGGGTGGTTGAAGCTAATCGGGGTATTGTAGCCAATCACAAAAAGGTACTCGGAAAGTTTCTTTCACTCGCTTCTGAAAGGTCGACAGGCTTCATCCCTATCCTGATATTGGTGATGGTGGTGGGTATGGGTCGGCCCTTTGTAGTAGGTAGCGCGTGGGCGTTGCAAATGCGGGGTGGATCACACCACGTTGTGATAAGTGTAGGGACCGGGATGCCAATCATCGTTGCGAACGTGGTTATGGCGTACAGCTGGTGTTGAGGGGTATCGTGTGGTCGGGAGAATTCGGAAAGATGGCATGCGTCCTCGTTGTGGGAAGATTCGAGCATTGTGCCAACATTCGTTATCCGCTGAGCTGCCGGCATCCAATCTTTCCTTTCGTCCCTCAACATTCCCTTGTCGCGATGCATGCGCTCATATCCGAAGACAGAATGCTCCACATGGCTCCGACATCGCCAACCTAGCGCAGGAACTCAGCGTTGAGGTAGTCGACAAAGACCTCCTTTATGCGTGCTTTGGAAAAGCTGTGTTGACGATTCATGGTGATGAATTGGCGGCGGATACGCTGGAGTTGTGGCAGCGTCATTGGCGTGGCAGGGAGCTCGATGGGCTTCTCGACATCGGCGACGGCTATCTCTCCACCTCCTTCGCCAGGGTGATCTTTCTGGTACACCATTATCTGAGCGAGGATATCGGAGGTCGTCTTATCGAGCTCGTAGAGGTAGTTTTGCTCTGTTGCCGGCTTCTACTGCGTGTTAGACGACATCTTAACACGTTAGCAGAACGGGAGTACGCACCAGCACGGTCGCAAGGTTCGGCTTGACACTCTTCATCTTGCCATCGCTACTGACTATGGTGTCCCATATCTGGTCGCACGGCGGCTTCTCGTCCTCCTCGACGACGATGAACAGCGGACTGTCCCACCGCGTCATGCCATTGGGCTCCTCGTACCGGAAGATGAGGTTCTCAAAGTCGTCCTCCTCATAGCCGCCGTCGGTATCTTTATCCGCCAAGAGCTTCTTGTTGTTCTCGCGACATCGTTCGGCGGGCGTCCCTATGTGCAGCTCTAAGACTGTCAGTCGTGCATGCCATCTGCGCACACCGGTATACTGACAACGCAGCTTGGGGTCTGTAGGGCCTTGGCCTCGCAGTACAACTGGTACCGGAAGCCCTTGATGTAGTTTAAGCCGTCGGCGATAACGATGTCATCGCGCGACAAGACTCTTTTGACGGCGGAATATTCTTCCGCACGTGCATCCTTCTCGGCTTTGGCGGTATGGTAGACGGCGCGCGACACGCCCAGCGACTGATCGTTGATGAGATGGACTTTCAGGCGGGAAGTGCGCGCATCAGGAGGCGAGTTGGCGATCTTGGCCTCGAAGAAGTCCTTTAGCTGGAGGGCTCTGGTGGTCTTGCCCGCGGAAGGGAAGCCTTTGGGGCGTGGGTTAGCGAAAATGGCGGGGGGAAAAGCATGGAGGGGAAGGTGGAACCTGAAATTAAAACGAGCTGCCCTGGTCAGTAGGCGAATCTGGGGAAGGTTCAACGAGGACTTACGGGCATGTTGCGAGTAGGGCGAGCAATGCTTTGTCTGCAAGAGGTAATCCGCGTAAAACTAAAGAAACCTGGCGTCTCGATGCGATGGCAAGCGCGTCGGCAGATCAGATTGGCCTGTGACGAAATTCACGAGCTAGCAGTCCCGAGCCGCGGTCCAAACGGTAGCCATGGATTGTGCTGTGGTGCCTATCTTGCAGCTGCCTCTTCCTTCTTTTTGCCTGTATCCTGCTTTGCCTCACCTTCTCCCGACTTCAGCCTTTATTGCACCACGTCTAGACAAGTTCGCGGGGATCGTTCCAGGTAACGCGTAGAAGATCGCCAATACAGGGTAATATCGAGCTACCACGGGTCCATAATTACTTTACCCATACCCTCGCCTCACCCACCGTCTACACCCTTTCCACTCCTCTGCTCTCTCCTCGCCTCCTCCTCCTCCTCTGCCACAACTCTACCACGCCATTCCCGCAGCCATGGCCAACTACTCGCAACAACACTACGGCGCGCCCAGCCGACCCGCCTTCTCTGCCCTCCAGTCCTCCAGCACGCCAACCGCAAGCTACACCAGCACGTCCGCTTCGAGCCACGCCTCCTCACGCTCTTCGACGCAATCTGCACCGCCCGTCTCGCCGTCCACGAGCCCCCAGAACCACCAGTACTTTGGCTCTCTGAACCAGCAGTCGCAACAGTCGCAGCAACAGCCTCGCATGCAGGCCCAACGGCACCCCAGCTTCGAGTACCAACCGAACAGGTCAGGAGCCGGCCAGACGGCTGCTGAGACTACAAACTACCTCAACCAGGCTGCGCTGCTTGCTGAGGCTGCGAAACGGGCACAGATGGCTTGTGTCATGCGAGATCTCGACGGAATGGAACTATAGCTTCTTTGAGGCTTGGCTACAGATCCGTCGTACCATGGCAAACACCACCGCGACAAGTACATCCATACCGCTAAAACATTTTGCCGGTCAAAGTCGGCCGTGAGCGGTCTACTTTACATGTGCATGCTTCCAACGGAGTGGGTCCGTCCATCAAAGTCTTCAAACTTCACGAGGTCATCACTCCACCATTCTCACCGGAAACATTCTTCGCCATACCTTTCGCTTGAGTCTGCGGTGAAGCGCGTTTTCATGCTGCGTTTACCGACTATACTGCCCGATATTCCTACCGCGGCTACTTCATTTCGATTGTACATACTTCCCCACTATCGGACCGACTAGGCTGTTCTGTCCACTTTGCACTTTTCCTACTGCGGAGCTCGTATCTTGCCAGTTGTACCTTGGGTATCGGGCACGTTGGGGAATCTGCTGTTTTTTGTATTGTACAAGCACAGTGGCTGCCTTTGGCAACGTGTTGCCTCAGTACAATCTTGAAGGGAAACCGAGCTCCCCCATACATCATCTATCTCATAGCTTGGAGTTCCATGGCGAAACAAACATCACACCGTCACTATTCATCTTTTCTTTTCTTTTCTTATTCCCTTTTCACATGTCGCGATCCTCGAGTTCTAGATTCCTCGGACTCTAATAGCGAGACGAGCGCTTTGGGCATTGCCAGCATTTCTTTTTAGATGGACTACGCATGCAGATGCGGCATATAGTATAGACCAATCAAGACACTTTGTCCAACATCGTTTGCGTTATCGATTGTCTCGCTTCGCTTCTGCTATGCTGACACAGGAAGGCGATATTGCTTGAAGTTTGCGCATGTTGCGAAGGGACCTGCGTCGATGGATTTCCATGTCTACAGCTTCGGTAGTTTACAAGGACATCGTAATCAGCATGTACGAGAATTCGCATACGTGTCGGAATACAAAATACAAATGTGTGTATCGCGGTGAGTGGGTTATCGGGAGACTTACAAACAGCGCGTGAGGTTCTTAGGTGGTGTGCCTTTTTACGAACAAAGTACACACTTTCCTTGCGTTATGCCACTAGACTACACCAAAGACGCACCAAGAACGCATTTGTAGTCAAAGTATGGCATTTTTTTTTATAGAGAAAATATGAAGAAAGATGACAGACTTTTAAACAGTAAGCAACAATGGCGTGCTCGCTCCCTTATCTACCAACGCAGCCTCGTGCGGGGTCCTTCACCGGAACAACCCAACATGAGCCCGAGCAGAAAGAAAAGGGCGTGCATCATGCACATACATATGACCTGCATCATATAAGAACTTGCAGCAAGGCAAAAACGTAATAAGGAAAAGCCGTGAATACCAATATAAGCCTGGTCTGCGCACCGTTTGCCTTGTATGAGGCTCAACACAGACGCACTGCGTTTCTCCCTCCCTCCCTCCCTCAGTTCACTCATGGTCTTTTATTTGCTACCCGTTGCCTATTGTAAAAGGCCACGGCAACCCGTCCCCAACCACTCACTGACACGTCCCTCCCCTGCAGCGCCCCTTTGAATCATCCGACCAATGCCAGACTAACGCGTCACCACCACACGCATCTTGCGTCACCTTCTCATCCCCCATTTTACTATCGCATCGGACCAGCGACGATGGACCTGATGCTGAGGGTGTCGGTCCTGTAGCCGTGCGCGGACCGGTGAAATCTATGACCACAATGCTGCCTGACGTGTTGTCTTCGCTGGAGCCGTAGGAGCGGCCTGGTTTGATCATGAAGACTAGGCGTTGGGAGTCGAGGATGCCGGTTACGCTTCGTGTGGAGGATGATGATGAGTTGGTGGTTGGTAAGGGTGGGTTGAGTATGTTGTGCAGACGGGCTGAGCAGGGACAGCGCGATGAGGCAGGGGGCCACATGCGGATGGGCGACTGGCGGTAGCGTGTTTGGGTGTCTAGGAAGTAGGGTTTGGTGTCGTCGATGGGGGCTTTTCCTTTGCAGGCGCTGGTGCTGCCGCTCGTGGTATTGAAGGAGAGGCCTAGTTCACGGCGGGACCCTATTCGCAGTCGGAGGCACGGTGTTGTAGAGGAGCTAGGACAGCAGCGGTCGTCTTCTACGAGGTCGACAAAGGAGGTGCATGGGTAGCTGTAGGCTCGAAATTTTGTTCGGGAGAGGGTGAAGGATCGGGGTGAGGGGTCTGTTGGGGAGAACTCAGGGTGTTGGCTCCAGCTGTAGAGGTTGGGCGTGGGTTTCCAGTGGGGACTGTTGGAGGAGTCTATGAGTGGGAGGAAGAGATCATCCTCAGGCCCAAGTAGTTCGTCAGATAATTCCTCGGTATCGTCCTCTTCTTGAAAATCCATCTTAGTAACGTAGAAAGTGCGTGACTGGCGAGAAGATGCTTGCGCCCATTCTCGACGCGACTCTACAATCACCGTCTCGTTCGTACGCTCGTCAAGCTGTAGTGTAAGATCGGTCCATGAGTCATGAATTGGTCCTTGCTTGTGCTGTCGACGAAAGAGGCGCTCATCCTTCTGAACATCATCCGGTCTGTCTAATGGGAAGCGTACCACATGATAGAAGGATGTGTAATCGATCTCCTCGACCTCAAAGGTGCCCTGGTTGGAAACAGCGTAGAAGTAATCATTGTGTATTTCGAACGCGATCGTGGAGCCAATATCAGATCCGTGAAACTTATCGAGCAGTACTGGTCTTTCTCGCTCGGTTATCGGAAAGTCTTCATGGAGTGAGATGCCTTCAATCTCCCATTTGTGATGACCGTCATCGCCTATTCCAGTATGTGTGCCGTAATATAGATAATGTTTATTATGCCTAACAAAAAGCTTAGAACATTCGGCTAGTTGCACCGATTCGATCACCCTTTGTCCGTCCGGAAGGTTCGCTACTGTATTGATGGCGAATATATGGCTGTCATCCGAATTGTACTTCGGTATAGCATGCACAGAGAGGATCTCATCAGCATAATGAAGTAAGCGCACACTGATAGTACCAAATGCTCTGAACTTCGACTCCAAAACAGGCCGAATAATAGATTGGAGATCGAGACGGATGGCTTCTGTCCGCGAATTGAGATCCGTGACGTGGACCATCCCAGCGTCGAAAACACATATAATGCCCTGTTTGTACAAAAAGTTGTTTCCTTGGCCCAGAACGCGAGCCGAAAATGGGTGCGCAGTTGACAAAGCTTGTCTTCTGTCATAAATAGCCTGAAAGGCTTGCTTGTAGGTAATCTTCTCTTTTCGGGCTAAAGACGCTTCCTCGGTGTGGGAATAGTTGATCTATAAGCAGTGTCAGCCTTTGGTGTAAGCAGATTGACCGTTTGGCGTCATCTGACCTCGACAGTACGCCTGACAACTGTCCTTTCGTCTAGTACGGCTCTTAAGTGTCGACATGTTTGGCTGAGATGAACGATATCCTCAAGATCCAAATCGAAGGTGATGCAGAAGAGTAAGTCAAAAGGTAGCTGATCGAGGGAAGTCGTCATAGAACGAGATTAAGATAAATAGATATGGCGAAGAGGGCACGTGAGTAATGTTCCATGCGAGTAATTGGCTAAGAAGAAGCAAGATCTTGAGATCTGGACGATACAAGAGGGTTCAAGCTAAGGCGTGGCGTCAATTAGCTGCGGAGTACTGCGTGCTGAATGCGCAGCAAGCACGGGCTTTGAATGCTCCCACATCGCAGAGCCGCATCTCTCTGGAGCGCATCTCCATGCTAGGGTAGAGGCTAACCCATGCAATGGCGTAATCTTTCTTTCGTTTCGCGTAATCACTAATTGTTTTTCTCTGTTTAGGTCGGGAAGGCTGAGAATTGGGAGGCTCTGCAGACACGACGATATTGTGCGGGGTCGCATTGGGGCCACGAGGTGTAACGGGTCAGACCGATCAGGAACGGTCATTTGCCCTGTCGCATAGGTTTTGGAATACGACCATGTTGTGTGCAACAAAAGTTGAGTTGGGAGTTGTGCCCAGTGCTGAGCCGCATTGGTGTAGTCCCGCATGGGTAAGCGTGCGGCTCTGCTTGAGCAAAATCAGGTACCCCACCAACCTTGCTCTTTCTTGTAGTCTCAGCCTAAGAGAAACCCCGCACAACTGGGAACTAAGAACTTAATTCTCAGTACCAGATGCCCAGCTGACAGATTGACGCGCTTTGCAAGGTTACTTCGACATCGCCGGGGAGTTTTGGCCCCTATCATGCTGTACCTACCATGTACGCTCAATACATGCTCAGCCTTGCTGTACAGCCGTTGAGGTTTCGACTAGAACACTTGATCCGCCAGGCTGATTCCAGAACCGGTCAAGGCTAGTTCCTATCTGTCCAATGCTGCAATCATACAGGTTGAGGCGCAGTGCTCGTGCATGTAGTCTCTTTCATGCATACCCAACGCCCTTGGCCCTGTCTGAGCAAGGTGTCGAAGTATCGGGGAAGCGGGAAGTATACGGGGCCATCTGCAACTTGATGAAAATGTCCCACGGGTCGTTGTGCATTAGAGCCTAAAATCTCAGGAAGCCGTCAATGGGACTGACCAGTAGTGGTGTGAGTAGTACGCCATCGGGCATGATATCCATGCGGTTCTCCATGTGATTCATCCTCGCAAAGTGTTGGGCTCTTCCTCTTTGAGATAAGAGGTTATCGAAAACTGTTTGCGGACATTCATCGTTAGGCGACTCCTCGAATAAGGGTTGACTGGCCGTCCTTGCAGCCAGTTCGCCTCTGTACCGCCAAATGAATATGTACCGCGCTGTTTCAATGGTGTCCAAACGGCACTGGGAAGTCCCATTACTCCATCGAGACTGTTACACTCCTGAAAAGTGTGTGGCCTGACCAGCTCTTACAGCGACCCAACTAATCGGCTCCTAACTTTGCGACACGTAGTAACGTGTGCAGCCGCGTATGACTGACTGTCACGGTTGCTCATGTGCCTCATAGCAGCAGGCTAAGGCAATCAATCGGCCCATAGAAACGGAAGCGGAAAAGTGAAGCGACGCGGCAGAGTCTTCCAGCGTGTTGGAGTGGATGTTCGTCCTCGAAAGCGACGGAAAGAGACGCAGTAGCTGAAGATAAGCCCACGAGCATCTCGTCACTGCTCTGGACCAGCGCGTTGGCGTTCTTGACCCTCCCATCCGACATATGGCCAGCCCTTTGGTAGGCTCGAGTAGGGCGGCAAAGTATAGCGTCCCTTGCAACTTCCCGCATCCGGGCATTCCAAGTCGCATAAGCCGAAGGTCTTGCAGTAGCAGTCTTTCGCGGTTGGGCAGTGAACGGGAGGTTTACCGAAGATCACTATCAATCATATTAGCACATAATGCGCGAAATTTGAACAAGCAAAGAAAGCGCAGAGCCTCATCACGCGCGGGGACGTGGGGTAGGGCGCGAAATGCCAGCAGGTGGAGACTTACTGTGCCATGAGTACTCGAACACCCTCCCACTGATAGCATCACCCAGTTCAGTCCCCATAATCCAATCGCGATATTTCTCGTACTGCTCCTTTGTCCTCTCCCTAATCTTGTCCTTCGTCGCCGCAAACTGCGCACAGCAGCTCACACCAACAGCAGATGGCACTTTTTCACCCGGAAACAGGCTCTCAAAGGCCTTCTTATACTGTCCACCCGCATGAACGGCCTCTCTGTGTTCGCCCTCTTCAGCCAGCGGCTTGATCTCGTTTGGGCAGCCGAGGGACCAGGCGCAGCGGATGTTGACGTAGCCTTCTTTCTCGAGGTAAGGCAGCTGGAGGTGGCGCAGCATGGGGAGACCGTCGTAGTCGGGGTCGTCGTTGTGCCATTGATAGCGGTTGGGGTGGATGAAGAGGACGTTGTCGGGGAGGGATGCGTAGTGGTCGATTATATAGCTGCGATGGTATCCGTCGTTAGCATGCTGAGTATGGCAGGAGTAATGATATGAATCGGTACGTACGTCAGATAGACCATGCTCTCTCGACCCTTGTTCTTAGGCACCGTGAGCTCCGCGCTCGGATCGTCGACATGGTAGATGTTCTTCTCCCAGTCCGGGAAGTACTCCTCGAGCCACGTTGCGTTCTCGGAACTCTGGCTGGCGACGACGACGGCGGTCCGACGCGCTTTGATGCCGTCGTTGGCTTTTAGCGGCTTCCCCTTTGACTTGTGCGATGACTCGTCCGGCTGCTGTTCATCGTAGAGTTCGTCGGGAAGGTGCGACTTGGCCAATCCAGCCGCTGCGGCCGTCTTGTCCCACAGCTCAAACTTCAGGTGGACAAATAACGCGGTGAGAAGGACGATATTGACGAATATGACCACATTGCGAGCTGTGATTAAACGAGGCATGGCGCCACAAGCAGAGTACCCACGATGTTTGCACGACTTCCGGAAACCTGGGGCCAGGCACATCACATGCGAACACCAGGGGTGATCGGCGCTAGCCGATTCAAGCTCCTACTAGCGCGATATCGTAGAAAATGCTAAAAATACAAAGAGACGATCGTATTTCTCTACTACAACTTGTTTACACTGTTCTGATTGTATCAGGATTATGGATCATGCACTGCATACTATCCGCTCTGCCAGCGCCGCAATACTCATACGCGAATCCAAAAGATCCACCATACTAACTTTGTACCCCAGCGCAACATGGAACCAATTCCGCAACTCTGCGGCGATCAAACTATCGACGCCATGGTCAGAAACGGCACGCGCACAATTGACAGTCGCTGGATCAAGCAAGAGCATGGTTGCAACCGCGTTGGATATGGCTGATGTGACGAGTGTGAGGGCTTCCGCGTGGCATGCGAGCTGATCTGAGCCGGGGGCCGTGTTTCGAGCCTTTTGCACAGCAGCAGCGAATGCGTCGCGGACCTGCGCCGTGGATGAGCGGGCAGTGTCCTTTTGTAGAGTGTTGGCACCGCTCTCGTCCTGATGCAAAGCATCTTCGAATGCACGGATTACATGGGAGACGCGAGCATCGCCGTGCCAGCGAGGTCTTGCGACGCTTCGGACACCCATCTCAGCGTCGTCGCGCTCTTTTACGAGCATGTGTGCCGGGTCCATGTAGGTCACATAGGTAGCGGCGGCGAGGGGATCGGCGAGGGTCGCTTTGGAAGGCGGAAGGAAGGCTGGCTCGAGAAGGCGGAGGAAGTAGCTTTCAGATTCAGTCAGGACTTTGTTGCGTGCCATCAAATCCAGTGTGGTGTTGTCGGTGCTGAGATGGCCAACGTCGTTGACAAGGCCAAACTGAGCAGCCGTAGCAGGCAGACCCAGACGGCGGCGGTAGCGTGCGAACTGGTCCTGGAAGTTGTTGGCGGCCGTGTACGCAGCCTGAGTCGCGAAGCTCAGTACCGAGAGGATGGAAGTGGTCATGACAAAGAAGTCCAACGGCAAGTGTTTGGTAATTTCGTGTAGGTTCTGTGTGCCGAGTACCTTCGCGGCGAGGCCATCCTGCCAGCCAGGGCCTGTTACCTTGTCGAAAGAGATATCCTGGTAGGACACGGCGCAGTGGACGATGCCCTTGAGTTTACCAATGGTGGACGCGTACACAACGGCTTTTGCGACACTCTCTTGAATGCCGAGATCGCAAGCAACGGGATGTACACGGATTCCAAATTCAGCGAGCCTGTCCACTAGTGTCTGCGCTTCGGGCGCGCTGCCACCACGGCGGGACAAGACAACGAGTTCTCGTGCACCGCGATCGCCCATCCACTGGATGATAGACCGTCCCAGACCGCTCAGTCCACCAGTGATGATGTAGCAGGCCGCTGGGTCGAAGGTGACGGCTGGCGGTGCCCGCACCATGCGTACCAGTGAGTTCGATGCGAATGTCACAACTAGTTTGCCAACATGTTTGCCCTTGGAAAAAGCCAGCAATGTCTGATGGAGTTGAGAGACGTCCGAGATAGTTAGAGGTTGGATAGGGCTTATGCGGCCAGCACGGTAGTGCACGTCCACCGCGGTCATAAGTTCGGCACCTAGTTGAGGGTCACGATCTACGACACGGGCAAGATCAAAGGAGGAGAAGCTGGCGCTCTTCTGAAACAGCTCAAGGCCGATTGCACGGGCATCCTCGACATCGGCGCGGCCAATGTCAATTAGATGGCCGAGTGGGGCGAGTGCTTTCGCTGTTTCGTGGAGCATCTCACCCTGGGCAGTGCTGAGAATGACATCGAACCCCCCGTTACGTGTCGCAGCAGCAGCGCGATTGAAGTCGGCCTTTTTTCGTGCCGAAAACACATTTGATGGCGGCAGTCCCACTGCGTCTACGAGGAACTGCAGCTTTTGTTGCGAGCCAGCCATAGCAAAGACGTGGGCGCCTTTGGCCCGAGCGAACTGGATAGCAGCCAGACCAACGCCGCCAGAGGCTGACTGGATCAAGACACTCTGGCCCTGACGCAGACGGGTAAGATGTTCGAATGCATAGACTGCCGTCATGTAGACGACAGGCATGGTGGCCATGTGAACAAGATCATCAGTAGGTCTTGCTTTGCAAGCGAAAGCTGAAGGTACGCGTGCATAGTTGCCGAAGTGGCCTTTTCCTAAGCCGTAGACGGAATCTCCCACAGCAAAAGCACTCGCAACATCAGCACCGACCTGAGTGACGATACCGGCGTACTCAGATGATAGGTTGTTGCCGTCGAAGCGGCCAGTAGCCAGGACCAGGTCCTTCCAGTTGAGACCCACAGCAGTGACCTTTACCTCGACGAAGTCACGTTGCAGGGGCTGTTGGCGTAGCTCTGTGTAGGGGCGGAAGTAGAGGGAGCTGAGGATGCCCGGTGATTCAAAGGCGGCGCGAACAGGGCCTTGAATACCAAGTGGCAGAAGCTCGGCGCCATGGGTAGCCGGTGTAGTAAGGGGCTCCGCATAAGTAGACAACGCAGGCTCGGGCAGCAGACGACTCACCCACAAGCAGC